CTTTGGCCTGTCTTTCCCTGTTGCCATTTCATTGGAGTTTATGAGTGAGGGACAACCTTGCCTACAAATCTTGCATGCCAGATTTCATGCTGTCATAAGGTGTGCGAGGGAGAACTCTTTTCCGCGTACTATCATGGTGATGGTGGTCAGCTGAGAAAATGGCTGGTCCCTCAAAATGCAAAGCAATCACTGAGGCTATGGGCAAACAAGCGCGACCAACACACACACACACATTCTGCTTCCAAATTCTCAACACTGGTGCATTATCAGACTGACATATCAACATATATCAACTAGACATCCTTCATTACACTGCCTCTAGATGCTGGGATGTTGACCAACTAGCCCACCCAAAGGAACAAAAACACAACACTACCGTACAAGCAAGCAAGTTCAATCGTATTTTATATTGATGTTTCTATAAATAAAAAATACAAATATTATAAAATTAGCTAAGATACATCATTATATATAAAGGTATATAAAGGTCATGATTGGATACATCATCAGCAATCTATATAATCTGGGCATATCTGGGCCAAGGCACAGTGGAGCCAGGACCACCTGACCACTTGGATTGGCCTTGCGAAAGGCTGCCAGCTCAAAGATACACCAAAGCCTCGAGAGCAACCTGAGTCTTAAAGTGGATAAAGTGGATGTGGATGCCGACCTGTACCCTGGCAGTTAGATGATGTTAAAAGAAATTGCCAACCTACCTGTGAAGAGGATGTAGACACCAACCCGTGATTTGTTTTTTCGAAATGCAGTGAACGCCAAAAGAATTTGTCGCCCTTGAATGCCATGAAACATGGCAATTGAACATACTTATGTTCTAGAATTATATATTGTTTGTTTTTATGATAGACGACAATCTGTCAGTAAGGAATTCCATTGCGATGTTTTTGATTGCCATACGGGATTTTAGTTCTGTTGCAGTTGCAATCAGCTGCAATCAGTTGCAATCAGTTGCAACCAATCAGTTGCAATCACTTGCTGGTGCGTGGTTGAAGCTTTTCACTATCAAGTCTGTTTCAATAATTTCGGTGTTTCCTGATGGTTTGGGTATTTGTTGCTCTTGATCGCTTGCATTTTCCGTAGCAACCGAAAATACGGAACTGTTGTGAATCATAACTCTCATTTGTATATTTTGTATTGTATCAGCATTAACATAGCATCGCTTTCGCTCCGGCTTGCCGGCACGGAATGTGCATAAAAATGTCTGGATACTTGACCCAATGCCATTGAAAGGGTGCAGCACATTGCGCAGTGGCACCTTGGTGAAGTTCTTCACTGGAAGCTTAATGGTTTGCACGTGTACCGTCAATCAAACCTTGCCATGGACAATTACCCTCTGGTAAACTAACATAGCTATGGAAAATCACCATGTTTAATGGGAAAATCCACTATAAATGGCCATTTTCAATAGCTATGTTGCAGGGGATTTCCAAGCGAGCCCATGATTGCCATGGCACGGAGGGCTCCACAGAACTCGGAGCTCTTTCGATTTTGACAGAAAACCTGCGATTTTGTAAAAACGTGGCGAACCATGATGGCTTATATTCAACGCAAGCAGCTAACATCCCGCCAACTTAAATGGGTTTGTCACAAAATAGGGTACCCCATTCCATCCAGATCCAGAACAAGACGAGTTCAAGTCTTACCCGGTTTACGATGGCCGCGCATGCGTGGGAGGTAAGTGAAGGCAATGAACGATGCGTCATTTCTTTCAGACAAATCTAGTTCCTAAGGGGAGAATTTACTGAATTTTACTGACATACAACAAAGACAGTGCTTTGAAATTACAACGTACGAAACATTACGAAACATGCAACGTATTTTCAGCCGCCTTCCAGTCCGTAGACCCCAAGTCTTGTCAACCGTGGATCTGCTTGGTTGATACTCACCTGAGGCACGAGGACAGGGAGCCTGGTCAGCTACCAAGCAGCCTTTGTCACATCTCATGTCTGGCTTTGTATGTCATGTATGCCACATCACTTCTGTCATGTATATCATGTTTGTAATGTTATGTCTTGTATGCCATGTATGTATATGTATGTAATGATTTGCAATGCATGTCATGTATGTAATGATGTTTAAAGTATGTCATGTACGTTATGTTCTGTAATGTATGTCATCTTTCGTTATGTTGTGTTTTGAAATGTATGACATGTATGTCATAATGTGTAATGATATGTAGTAGTTTGTAGTGATTTGTAGTGATTTGCAATGGCTTGTAGTGATTTGCAATGATTTGTAGTGATTTGCAATTAGTTGTAATCATTTGTGAGGATTTGTAATATTTTGTAATGTATGCATGCATGCATGCATGCATGTATGTGTATGCGTGTTCAGATTATTCACTACAGTTTGTATGATTTTAGCATATTTTATCATATTTTAGCCTTGGCCGTGTCTTTAAGTTATTAAGAGCTGAACCCCACTTCTATGTTCTACATGGCACCAGGTTTACCTTCGAAAGACTGGTATCTTTGAATTGCAGAGAAAGACAAAATGATTCTTCAGCAAAAGAGCATGACTCAGTATAACCCCTGCACAATTGGAGGTTTAAAATGGTTTAAGCACAAGATTTGCTCATATCATGGAATCTGGATCGCTGTGGAGCCCCAGTAGAAGTTCGAACAAGACAAGTGTGCCTGAAACAGCTATCCGAAGCAAGCGCCGATTCACATTTGTATCCAGGTGAAGATTTTTCACGTGGGACCCAAACAGGCGCTGGGGCATCTCGGAAGCTTCTACCAACAATAATTAGTTTATTAGTTTGGAGGTACGTTTCCTCCAAAAGATTTTTTTTAAACGAAAAACATGTCATTTTTTTTACCCCATGAAATCTGCATGGAAAATATGGAAAAAACAAGTCATCGAACTGAATGGGCCCTCTGTACCATAGCAAACTGATAAATTACCGGTATACCCTCCGGTCAAATTAATGCTTACACATGTCAATATAAAATGCCCTAGGCCCTATGTATGATTTTATATGTTTATTTTTTATGATTTTATATGATTTTCCTATCGAACCCTCCATTTATCCATTTAAAATATAAATCTCCACCAGATGATTTCCCAGCCATGTTAACTGATAGCCAGGCCGCCACGTCCACGAAGCAAATCTCAGAGCTACAGCGGTAGGGCGCCACAGCCAAGCCCATCAGGACCGCCAAAATCGCCGCAGCCCTGGTGGTGTTTCTGCAGAACGTATGGTGGAATTGTAATTGAACCAAAGAAGTCCAAAATTCTTGGATACACAACGGCACAACTATAGTATAGTACAAATATATTAAGGGAATACGATATCTCTTCAACCTGGATGTGTCCCAAGATTTGGTAAGTAAACGTAAGTACCCCTTGAAAGCCACACATTTTGACTTGCGGATGGCAATATGATTGAAGGTTTTCTCATTTGCAAACACCGACACAAACACTGATCCGCTAACTCGGGGCAGCAAGAAAAAATGGTACAAAGAACCAACAAAACAAACCAAACACCAGGACGGAATTTTGAAAACCGTTTGGAACCGGAAAATCCACCAATTCATTGTCATAGTCGGAGTCGGCAAAGGAAAAGCAGGAAATGTGGAAATTCATGGAAATTCAGACAATCATTCGACTCAAAGAAGTGAGAACACAACGCTCTCAGATTTTTCTGTAATTTTCTGTGGTTTACCACCTCAAAATTTACACACAATAAACCAGGGACGCACCGGTCTACTCCCTGAAAAACGATTGACATTGCACTTCTGGATGCCCAAAAGTATTACCGGGGTTTAACTTCCGTGGCCATCTTGCATTGGAAATCTTTGAAACAGATGGTCCAAGGAAAATCTTGCAGGAAACCATTGAAACCATGGTCTCCCGAGTAGTCTTTCATTCACACACACACACACATACATATATATATATATATATATATATACGTATGTTATATATATATATGTGTGTGTATTATATGTATATATAATATACACGTATGTATATATATATATATACATGTCGAAGATATCTCAATATATAATTTCAATATTTGTGCACATATACCTATGCGTGTCAATCTATTGGACTATCGATCTTGGGCATCATGATTTCCGTGAAGCCTCATCCAAAGACCGTGAGGCACCCAGCCCGCGAAGTTGTAGGACGTATCCTTAACATAACATGAATTTAATCACTGCCCCTAAGAATGCTGGATGATATTGATAATGGATAAAACTACTCACAATTAACAATTAATAACAATTATATCTCATATCTCCTTATCCCGTTGTAGAGAATTTATCCACCATTCATCTCTTACAACCCCTGATGAAACCATACATAGGAAAAACACACCCAGAACAACCCGTTCATATCAGTTCATTTTGGAGGCCCGTTTTGAGGGTGTCTTGATTTCTGTGAACGGATTCACTGAGGGTGGACCATTCTTGGGCACTCAAAGCATGGTATGGAAGGTTCTCTGTACTTTCTGTGCGCGCAAATGCCCAGAGCCAACTCATGAACAAGAGATAACAAGAGTTTGCAAGTCTGGCCGTCTGCAAAAACCGTTTGTGTATGCTACTGCTATATTGATTCTTTGGATCATATGGGATCATCTTGTACAGGCCCGAACACAAAAAAATGTGAGTCCATGATGCGTGCTCCCTTCCATGGTCACTTAGATCCATAACGTGTTGTGCAGGCTGTGAATCTTGGCCCGGCCGATCTCCAAATTCTCCCCTGATCAAAGCAGTGCAGCTCAAATATCAATGGAAAAACATTATATAACTCATTAATTAAAAAAAGTTGGCATGACCCAAGACAGAAGTCCCAAGGTCTAGATATATATCGCAATCCCGTACCTAAATACCTCCTGGAAACCCAGTTGTTTTTTGTTTCGAAACTGGACATCACCAGCACGCTTTGACCATGGCACGTAGTACCAAGTGTGATATGGAAGCAGCTCCGCAACGTAGAGTGACGCCGCCATCACATTGAAGAAACACCACAAGATCAGGATGCAGGGCCAGCCCGTCCGAAGCAACAGGGCCCAAACTTTCCTCGGTGGCACCCAAAATACACAAATGTGGCAGTGGAAAATTTTGGGAAATCCGCCATGTGCAAATCATCTTCCCATGGAACTTACGGATTTTTTTAGTGCCACCATGGATTACAAGAGGAATCATGCACCATCATGCATCATCATCTACCATCAATCGCTTCTTTGTTCTATCTACGCCATCTTAATTCACAATCGTCACTGCATTGGCAAAATGCCAAACCCGCCTTGCAACCGAAATTCGTTGGAAACAAAATGCATATTATGAATTCATAGGCGAAGTAATGTTTAATGTAGGCATATATGTATATGCATTTGAAACATTTTGAAACAATATACAACATCGATAATGAAATTATTCTCCTGTGCATTAACCAGTTGACGTCAGGGCAAGCATTTTGTAGCACGCCCAGGTGTTGAGCTGGGTGGTGGAGGCTTGGTGTGATTCCCCAGGAAGCACCGGTGAACCAAAAAAACAACCCAAAAATCGGAGCCTTACAAAATGCTTGCCCCAAGTTTATTTCCAGGCCCCAAGCCCAGTCATCTTATAAGCTTGTGTGTTATAGAATGGTTGGTTTGGAAATATGCCTAACCTAACTTGTACCTATCCCACTTCCCTGGGAAACACTGCAATCCTTTTTCCCAGTCCCCGAAACATTTTTTTTTGGGGGGGAACAACATGGAAAATTAAATACACCTACAGTGCAAGTACATCTAAATACAAGTTTTTCAACCAATCCATTTTGTAGCATAGTTTGTTCCATTCTGACCTTCTGTGGACTGTAGCCCTTTTAGTCCCAAACCATTTTGTACAAAACTGGTTTTGAAACCCTCAGGCAAACATCAGCATGCACCCGCCTCATTCTTTTCTAATTCAACAAAAAACAGTGTTATGACATGACTGGCCCCGACGTCGTTTTGTAAAGAATGTTGGCTCTTATGAAATGATTCACCCAACAAAAAACACATCTTTTACAAAATGGCAGGGTTCACTGGGCAAAATTCCTTACAAAATGCTTCCTTTTGTTCCAAACATGCCCTCTGAAATGGAACATGGGTCCAGCCATTTCATAGTGGAAATGTGCACAGGGATATAAATTTCACAAGTAATTATTCGATTATATAATAAAACATTAAGTGGCCCCAGTTGGGTGGATTTAGGTAATGGAGAAAATAAACAAATTATCTGACCAATTTAAGGATTTTTTGGGGTCGCACCATATTTTATGAAATTGACATAAAGTTAGGTGAGGCCGTTTGAAAAACGAAATCAGTGTGAGGTCGTTGTCGCGGCTGAGGTTGTTGCGCACGCCAGAGTATCAAATCCGTTTGGCGAGCTTTCCCCCCAGCTGCCCACGGCAAACAAGATCTAACAGCCAGAAAACTGCACCAAACACAACCCGGAACTGTTTCTATTTTGGCGAAACAACACCGTTTTGTTTCCTTCATCCCTGAGCTTGTTTGGCACGGTTTCCCATCGTACCCCCCTAAGATTGGCAAGAATTGGAAACCCGAAAGCCATACCGAGCAAGCACGGCAGCATTCCTCTTTTAAAGGAACCGTTTTGTTTCTTCATTTTTCATACCTGACCCTGTTTGGCGCGTTTTCCCATGAATCATACCCTCACAAAATTGGCACAGTCAGGAACCAGAAAGCCTTACCAAACACAGCATGGTGCCTTCCCCGCTTTCACTTGAGAACGCAATAGCAGGAACATCCCGCACACACCAAGGACGAATCGAACCTCGACGCCACCGTGCGTTTCTTTCAATTTGCTCCAGCCCTCTGACTGGGGGGGGGCTGCAAAATGATAATTATCTGTGATACCTGCGGCAAAGGCTCCCCCGCTGGCACAAATATGGAATCTTTTGTGTGGCGCGGTTTACAACTATAGCTCCCCAAGTTTTAAACAATATGCGTTCCTTTAGGATGAATAATCTAAAACCATCGTCAATGCTGCGCTTTCCAAGCGGAATCACCCGGTAGAAGGAACGGTTGGATACTACTATAAATGTATATTTTTTTAATTTGAAAATTCTGCATCGTTAATTCAGGGGTGACGTCGTGACGTCGACTTATTTTGTACACAATATATATAATATAACATTGATTAACATTGTATAACATGTGTTTTCTTAATGCGATGCAATGCAACATGATGTAAAAATTAATGTAATGTAATGTAATGTAATGATGTATGTGACGATGTATGTAATGATGTACGTAATGGTGCAATGATGTATGTAATGATTATGTATGCACTGATATATGTATACATATATAATGTACGCAATTTTTAATGCATGTAATGCATGTAATGTATGGTACGTATGTAATGCACACAAAATGCATGATAATGCTTGCACTGCATGCACTGCATGTACTGGATTTGTAATGTATGGATGGACGGATGCGTGCATGCATGTATGGTCCAGTACGTATGTCCATATGTCACTATGTCAATCTGATGTCAATCTGATGTCAATTTGATGTCAATCTATCTATCTACCCACCTATATATCTATCTGTCTGTCAATCTATTTATCTATCTATCTATTTATCTATCTATCTATTTATCTATCTATCTACCTATTTGATTTATCTATCTAATCTAATCTAATCTAATCTATATCTATATCTGTCTATCTATCTATATCTGTCTATCTATCTATATTTGTCTATCTATCTATATCTGTCTATCTATCTATATTTGTCTATCTATCTATATCTGTCTATCTATCTATATCTGTCTATCTATCTATATCTGTCTATCTATCGCTGTCTCTATCTGTCTGTCTGTCTGTCTGTCTATCTATCTATCTATGCATGCATGCATGTATTCATGCCCCAATCTCATTCAATTTTCTGGGTTTCATGTCGGGATTTCCAAGTGTGACAGTCATCCGGGATTTTTTTCCAAAGTGCCACCCATGCCCTTTGTCGAAGATGATATCATCATAGAGTTGGCAAAATTTGTCCCCCAACAAGTTTGTCACTTCAAGCTTTAAACCAACTTTGATGTCTTTTGGGAACCACGTCCCCCCTAAAAAAACAAAAAACATGGGTTGCAAGCCGCTCCCCAAGAGTCCCGAGACTCCCGGGATTTTCCCAAATCTGCACAAGTCTCAATCTCCCTGAGGTCTGCCATGTGTGCGACAAGAACACATCAAAACCATCCACCTGAGTGACCCTCCTGGCGATGCTGGGCTACAGGAAGGACTGACGCCATTCAAATCAGCGGATTGATTTACCAAAAAAAAACACGGACAACCAGAATCTAGGAAAATCAAGAGAATCATAAAAACACTAAATTTCAAATACGTGTTATAGGAAACCATATCTTTACTCCCAACTATAAGGGTTTACCCTGTATATAGGTGTTTCCCTTGAGCCAATGCCAAGTCTGGGATAAAACCATGGGAGAATCTACCACAAACCATGCGGCTCAGGGGCGATGGGTTGAAGTTCAAATTTGCCAGGCCATAAAAACCACCAGTAAACATACATCCTGAAATGAGGGTTTCCAAACATGGACGGTTCACAATGGTAGTCGGAAAAACCCCATTAACATGGATGATTTAGGGGTACCACCATTTCAGGAAACCTCCGTTAACATACAATTAATCCCACATCCTAAATGAATGATTCCCTTCCTCAGGTTTGGGTCCCAATAAGTCCCTTAAGCCAAATTTTTACATCACATCTCCCGCCGGTCCTGGACAGGAAGGCGTGATCCACCTCTCTTAACTTGCTGGGGGCAGTCTTCCAGACCCGTCCGAGATCTCCTGCAGTTGCGCTCCACAGGTTGGATGATGTTGGATGGTGCTCCATAACATCAAGCCATCAAGCGTAAAACATCTTTAAATATCTCTAAATGACCTTTCCCTAGCTGCAAAGCATGCTTGCCACTTAGGGAATATAAATGATTGGCGAGATAATAGCAGCAGGACTTAGCAAGACTGCTTGAACCCCTGCACCCAGGTGAACGAAGAACCTGACGCGGATTTTGTCGCTTTGATCGCATTTGTGTCTGAAGTCCATTTAAGTGCCCGTGTTCACCGTCTTTTTCTTGATTTTGAAAAAACATTTTCTTCGAGAGACCCCCGCCTTGAAACACTATTCTGACATAGTTTCTGACATACCACCTGGAAGTGTATACGGCATGTTTTTTTCTGCCATTCTATCGGACATGCTTTCTGGCATATATTCTGACATTCTTTCTATCTGGTATATCTTCGGAGATTCTTTGTGGTTAAATTCCGGCAGGAACACTTTGATCCGGAGCTCGCGGTTGACGTACGGCGGGGAAAACGGCAGGGAACACTCTGATCCGGAGCTCGCGGTTGAGGTCCGGCGGGGAACACTTTGATCCAGAGGTTGCTGTTGGGGTCTGGCGGGGAACACTATGATCCGGAGATATCCGGAGCTTGCGGTGGAGGTCGGGCGGGGAACACTTTGGTCCAGAGGTTGCGGTGGAGGTCCAGCGGGGACCATTCTGATCCTGAGCTTGCTGTTGGGGTCCGGCGGGGAACACTGCGTTCCAGAGCTTGCAGTTGAGGTCCGGCGGGGAACACTTTGATCCAGAGGTTGCTGTTGGGGTCTGGCGGGGAACACTATGATCCGGAGATATCCGGAGCTTGCGGTGGAGGTCGGGCGGGGAACACTTTGGTCCAGAGGTTGCGGTGGAGGTCCAGCGGGGACCACTCTGATCCTGAGCTTGCTGTTGGGGTCCGGCGGGGAACACTGCGTTCCAGAGCTTGCAGTTGAGGTCCGGTGGGGATCACTCTCATCCTGAGCTTGCTCTTCGGGTCCGGCGGGGAACACTGCGTTCCAGAGCTTGCAGTTGAGGTCCGGTGGGGATCACTTTGATCCAGAGGTTGCTGTTCGGGTCCGGCGGAGACAACTGTGATCTAGAGCTTGCAGTTGAGGTCTGGCGGAGGAAGGAGGAGGATGAGGATGAGGAGGAGGAGGAGGAGGCGGGCCAGTTGACATAAAATCGAACAACCCTCACCTGACAGGTGCGGAAGAGCACACTTCCATTTGAATCTTCATCTTGGAACACTGTGCCAATTTCACCCCTTACTTTCCCTGTTTCTTTTCTCCTCAACATCCCGTTGTTCCCCCAGGGCCCTCCAAAACAAGAACCCAGTGACGTAAGGATCGGTGCAAAGAGATCCCGCGCAGCAAACGGGGGTCCAGGCCTGTGATGAGATCGAGGATCATCCCACTGGGAACTGCTTTGGTAAATGGGCTATAAATGGCTATAATATAATAATTTATTATATAACGTTTTTTTTTAAAGGTTTAGTATGTATTATCATGTATTATAGTCTATTATAGATATGAGAAGATCCACGATTAACGGTGGTCAGATCTCCCATTTTGGGAATAATCCACTCTGGGTAACGTAGGTTTAACCCACAACAATGATCTGATATGGATGGAATATGATGGAATATGCATGACATATGAATGAACACTCAGTGGTTCGTATACCCTGGGGTAAACATAGAACAAATGGACATTTAATGGGGAAAGCCGTTGGGAAAATAATCTACATTCATAGCGTTTAGTACGTCTAATATCCACATCTATGCGAGTTTGCAGGAGCAACCGGGCTGTGGGGAGGGGCACCTTTGATCACACCAGCAGCAAACTTAGAAAAAAAACAGTTGCTTCCAAACTTTGTGACCGGAATACAATAGGCAATAAGAATAATGGGTATGTAAAATCTTAATCATCCTAATCACACCCAAAACAACCAACCAGGTTGTGGTGTTGTATTCTGGGTTACATAATCAACAACATGACATGGGACGCTCAAAATGCGGGGTCTTCCCCAAAAATATGACCGTTAAATGAGACTTCATGGCGCAGTGAGGTTTCAAATCTTGAGATGACCCCATGTACTGTAAGTGTTCTGTTCCTCCTAACCTGCCTGTAGACTCTGAATCAGAGGACAATCTATTAGAATATGTCAAATGAAGCAAACATGATATGTGTTTCGGCTGTTTGTCGGTGGAATCGAGCCTAGGAGCCCGCCAAAGGATGCCAAAGGAACGTTGCGTAAACAATTGCATGTTTGGCCCACCAGACCCCCATGCAAAAGCAAACGCACAAAATCCAGTCATCTACCCATATCTACCCCCACCATAGCTCCCCAGAACTTCCATTCCTCCTTATTTAAGGAATTCCTCCTTATTTAAGGAATTCCTCCTTAAAATTCCTCCTTAAATTAAGGTGGATTTTTTGAAAAATTCCTCCTTAAAATTCCTCCTTAAATTTTCAATTGCAAGGAGATCTTGCACCTCCTGCTGAAGGAGACTTGAAACCTCCTTATCCCAGATCCTGGCAGCAAAACTTTTCACTTCAGCTCTGGAATCACTTGTGCTCGAAAACTTTGCAGAACACTCATGCCTATGGAATAAGGGTTGTGGCTTCCACCTTTCACAGCTCCTAAGTGAGCTAGGAAGCCACCAAAGTCTTCGTCTCGATATGTCCAACTGTCTGATGGACAAGAGTTCTGGAGCAATAAATCTAAGAAGCTGTGGTGCTTTGGTTTGATCTTCCAAGTATGGTCAGTCTCGTTTTCCAAGCTCTTGCGCAACAGCAAAAACTTTCTGCTATGCAGCAGCATTGACTGGTGATTCCATAGATTCTTGGACAAGAAAGAATAACATTGCCAGAGTTCTGTGGCAGCCATCTTGATTGTATATTCAAGCGCATTGTCATCAGCCAAAAATTCATCGCAGATTTGTTTTGCAATAGTAATCAACCCTCGAGCTTCTGCAGCTTTGGCTCGAAGTTTTGGACTTGAACTGGCTTTCTTTCTGATCATGAGGACTGTCAAAGTAGGAAGCTTGTTTTCCACACCTTCAGTCTTGTAGTAGCTTTGAATTCTGTGGAACAAGCTTTTCACCCTTTCTTTCACATTGTTGCCAGGCAAGTGATTTCCAGAGGCAATTAAATGGTGAAAAACATTGCCCATAAAATCTGCTGCCACGCCCAAGTCCACAATGTGAAGCCAGTCCAAACGAAATTGTTTGCTTGTCAGTCCTGGTGTTTGAAACAATTCATTGATGTCAATGCCAGAATTGGAAATGGATTGCAACAAAGTGAAATGGTCCAAAGGATCAAATGCCTTGCAGCTTTCAAGGTTTCGAATTTCAATTGGTTTGCACAAGCAGCAAATGGCAGCATCCTTGTTTGTCTCGCCATGCAGGAAATTGGAAAACTTCTTTTCTCATAGCCCAATCACCTCTCACTTCAAGTAAAAAAGCAGTGAAAGGCAATGCCTTGCCATTGAATGTGCTTCGTTTTTTGTCGCCTGGGTGCCAAAAGCTGCCATCATGCCTTGCTGAAGGCCAAGTGCAATTGGCTAAGTGAATAAAAGACCAAGACAAATTTCCTAGCATCTTCGACAAAGTTACTCCCTTGATGCACCAGTGCTTTGGAATACAGCACAAAGGGATTCGCAAGGTACCATTAGGTGGAAGTAAGCCAGGAAAATTCCATGAGATGCATTCCAAAGTTTGACTTCTGTCATAATTGTAAGGTGTGCCATCGATCCAAAGGCCAAGTCCTATGGCTTCTCGAACTTGGAACTGCATTTGCATGTTCGCCAAATGTTTCTTACTGAGTTCACACATGCCACAAGTCTGCAGCAGGTCTTTCTTCTCAGAGCGCTTCGAGAAGACAAAATGAATCTCATGTGGCAAAAGAAAAGGTATCTTCTTTTCTGCTTGTGTTCCAGGATTGTAGCAAGGGATCAATGCAATGTATTCATTGAACCACAGGCAATTCTCAACATTTTTCTTTTCATATCCCTTGCCATTTTTTTTTCCCAATTGGCTTGCTTCTCACCACTGCCAGATTTCTCTGCACCTTTGACCAAATCTTTCAGACCAGTGGCTCCAGCTATTTGTGCATCTTTCATGAGCTCATTGGCTCTTCCAGCAGAGACAGTCTTGGTCAAAAACAAATTGGAAACATTGTGTCGAAACCTCTTCTGGTCAGGTTCCCCAAGGGTAGACAAATCTACCTTTCTCTTGTGAAACATGGCTTGAGCTGAAAAAACATGTCAACATAAAAGTTCATAAGATCTCAGAAGACAAGAAGTTGCACATTGTATTTAGTTAATGCTAAATTTGGCCAATGCTTTGAAACAGGGAAACAGTAAAGGAGATCTTACACCTCCTTGAGTCTTGTACACCAGCTTAGAAGCAGGCTCTTTTTCCAGCGACAGTTACCAGCTGCGCATCTTCCAAGCAGATCCCTGCGATATTTTAAATCTGCATTTCCACATTCCAAAACTGACAACTGCACCAAATGCGCTTTCCAAAATCTAAGGGCCAAACAGCTCCTACAGCAATGCCTGGTGAGTTTTCACCTTGGCTTTTGCTTCTTGCAGCTTCTCTTGGCTGGAAGCAAGCCATGCTTTCGCAGCAGGCAATGATTTCGAAACGCCTTCAGGAGAAGTGTCCTCAGGAGCAAGATCTTCACTGGCTGCGACATAAGATCTTCACCTCTCTTGAACAAGCACTGCCTGAGGTAAAGTGCCAAATACTTTGTAGTTGCGCATTCCTGGGTTGAGCCACAGGTTCAGGGATCTATGTAATTCTTTTCTCACCAAGCCAGCTTTATCAACAGAAACTATGAATTTCATCCATGAATAATGTGCTTACAAGTCTCAGATGTTCTCAGGCACTCATAGTGCTTCAAAAGCTTCTTTGTTGGCATACATTTGATCATTGCGATCTGCTTGTCCATTGGGTCCACAGGGTTCTTCTCAATGGTGGCCAGTGGCTGCTTCCTCCATGGAGGCAGTTCCTTTGGAAGTTCCATTGAACCTTTCATTGTAGACTGAAAAGTGTAATGATGAAGTGAGTTGGGATGTCTCTGAATCTCCAGTTCCAAATCCAATGGTTTCTATTTTGGATTCAAAGTGATTTTTATTGGAGGTTAAAATTGGTTAAAATTAAAATTGCCAATTTTAATTTTAACCTACATAAACTGGTTAAAATTAAAATTGGCAATTTTAATTTTAACCAATTTTAACCTCCTTATTTTTCCAATTTGAAACCTTTACAGTCATCATGCATGACCTGAATGAATTGTTTCCAGAGTTGCCAAGAGCCACTCAAACAAAGGAAATGGATGGGCATCAGCTTCGGCCAAGGAGATCTTGCACCTCCTTTTTGATTCCAGTATTGGACACTAGTTTAATGATTGTGATACTGCAGGTTCAGATCATCAGCTCTCATCATCATTCCAAAGCTGATCATGTGCATCCATCAAGGCTTCAAAAATGATTCTACAGGTCCATCACCACTACATTGATCAATATGACTTGACAGCTTCAGCCATGCAGAAATGCTCATATCACAGATATCATGTTTTACTTAAATTTAAATTTAGTTTATCAAGGAGATCTTGCACCTCCTTAAAGAGTCGCTTGCGCCCATAATCTCCAATGATTTTTCCATCCAAGCTCAATTGACTCAATCTACATTTGAATCCTCATCCTCTTTGGGTTTTTCGGCTTGCTCTACAGCATCAATAGATATTTTGAGAAAGGAGATCTTGCACCTCCTTTGTAAAGATGAGAAACCTAAAACATAAATTGCAATGCATTAAAGTGCAATTTATTGAAAGCCTGGTTGCAGTGCAGGTTGGATTCATGCAGCACCCATTTCGCCAATACGCTTCTTTCCCACAAATTGTGCATTTCTCAAGTAGCTTGTAGAAGGCGAGGTGGCAGGCGCTGGGGTACTTGGAGGGGGCATTGGAAGGGGCATTCTTCCAAGCACCTGGAGGGTCATGAGAACTTGGAGGGGCACCTGGAATAGGTGCTGGAGGAGGTGTATTTGGAGGTGGTAAAGGTTGCGATTGGGCATTGACATGAGGTGTCAATGCCTGGATCACCTGGTTTTGTAGCCTGATCAGCTCCAAAACACGGTCAATCTCCTCATCTCATGATCATCTCCAGGTGAAAGGTTTGATTTGTTTCTTGTCTCCAAAATTTCGTCTGACACCTAAAGCACCATACTTTCGACTGCCTTTGGCAGGATAATCTTCCAAGCGATATTCAGGAGATGCCAAGTCAACAGCAGCAGGTTCAGGATCAGCCACTGCAACAGCCGGCCGAGCTTCAACATCCTCTTCTTCAGAAGTGCCAAGTACTGCTTCACATGCAGCACGCTTTTTCAAGATTGCAGCAGGCCTTTTCAAGACTGCAGCAGGCCTTTTCAAGACTGCAGCAGGCCTTTTCAAGACTGCAGCAGGCTTTTTCCCACCTGCAGATTGCCTATAGATCTTCAAAGATTCATTGGGAATTTCAGATTCAAATTTGTTTTCACCAAAAGCAGCAATGGCAAAGCCATTTGGTCCTTCACTCATACTAGCTTTCTCCACCTTGCTATCCACAAAGCGACATACCACCATGGCAGTAGAATCGATCCAGGTTCCAGCACTCACAGGCTTCTTAGGACTCGCTTGGCTCTCTTCACTCGACACTTCTATCAATTGATGCTCTTGGCTATCCAATGTTTCTGAGCTGTGGCCTGGAGGAAATTTTTGCAAAAGTGGTTCATTCTCAGGCAACTGTGGGATGGAGCTCGCATTGGAACTTTGTCTCATGAGCCTTCGCTTGGCAATGGCTTTCTGAACAAACTTGCCTTTCCGCCGGTTCCCATGGAATTCTAAGCACGCCAGATAGATCTTCACAAGCTCACCCATCCAAGGATCATATTTCTTACTTGAAATTGACCATTTTGCTTTTGTTCTGATGTGTTGCACACATTCGACAATTGCAGAAGACCACTTCTTCGCTTCGTCACTCAAAGTGCGAGGGTTGACTTTCAAGGCAGCTTCCTTCAAGCAGTTTTTGGATGGTCGAATTGTTTTCTGGAACATCAAGCCCAGAAATTTTCGATAATGTTTGCAAACTTGATCAATTTCAACATCCAAGTACTCCTTGGGATCCAAACAAGCCACCTCTGCTTTCAAACATTTGCAAAGGTCTTGAACAGAAGCAGTGTTCTTAGCTCTACTCATCTTGAGAAATCAACTGCAGATGCGATGCACAAACATTACATGCAGGAAATCAAAACACCAAAAGGAGATCTTGCATCTCCTTGAAGCAACCTCCAAAGGTTGGTCTTGATGCAATGATGATGTCAAAGATGTATCTAAAAACAGTGAAAAAAATCCTCCTTAAAAAAAAATTAAGGAGGAATTTTCAAAAAAAAAACACCTTAATTAAGGAGAATTCCTCCTTAATTAAGGTGGAATTCCTTAATTAAGGAAAAAATCCTCCTTAATTAAGGGAATTCCTCCTTAATTAAGGTGGAATTCCTTTAAAAAAAAACTCCTTAAATTAAATAAGGAGGAATGGAAGTTCTGGGTCTCGTGACTTCTGATGACCTGTAGTCACCGCCAAATCCCCATGCCCAGGTGCTGACGTCTGGCTCCGAAGCATGTTCCGCTTCGAACTCTGTGGGTGCAGCATCAACGTCATCAACTTCCTCAATCCTCAAATCCTGGAGGTCGTCGCCCATCTTAGCCAGGTCTTCCTGGGAAGGCTTCGGTTGAGCTGAGCCACCGGGTTCATCTGAAAGATTCTGCAAGCAAGTGACTAAGTGGCTTGATAATTGGGGGTGATCAGCCAAACCACCAACCAATCCAAGAATAAGTTCATATAAGTTGTGGGTTCACTAACGTTGGGGCCAGGAACCAATCAGGAAGATGCAAAAGGTTCCCGAGTGTTCCGGAACGCGATAGAGCGCCAAGGGACAGCTTCCATGACCGGAGCTGCATGGATAATCTCCTTAAACTCTTTGGAAGCCACAGGCGCCACATCCTTCTTGCAGCAGCTTTCGCTGGTTCCCATGCCCAGCGCACACGGAGGTGGTTTCAAACTGTGGATTTCGTGCCCCATCAGTTGCGTCAGATTTTGGAGGTGCTTTTCCGTGGGTAGATCTTGGTGCTTGTGCTGGCTACGTAGTGCCTTTGATAAAGGGTTCCTTCTGCATACAAGGTCTGTTTGATCGTGCTTTGTTGCTCTGAAAACCTACAACCTATGCATGATATTTTGAAATTCTGAAACGCTGATCCATCTGATATCCTGGGTCGGCAGCCTTGATTGAAAGCGCGGCGCTGCACATACAGAGGCAATGGGTGGGTGGCCGAACAACTACAGAGCATGGAAACATTTCAGGATACTTAGGGCTATACAGTTCTACATGACGCTTTCAGTCTCAAATACCTAGGTTTTCATCACAAATTTGGACCCACAACCATGCATTTCTCCTTTATTGTAGTATCCATACATGGATGGTAAATCCAGCACCCTCAGTGTTTGAAGCATGTGCATTTCAAAGCAAACACATCAGCGCAATCAAGTTCAAACCACTGCGAGCTTTGTGCCCAATCAGACTCAGAGAACGTTTCCTCGGGCACCGGCAGGTATCTGCAAATCGTTGCTCCGAGGCCTTTGGTTTTGAGAGCAGCAAATGTCTGAAAATGGGGTGCACCATATTTCAACTGCTGTGATCACTCCTTTTTCTTGGGGTATACTTTATACTATACAGATCTATACAGTCTACACCTGTTTTGGACATAAACGCACCAACAAAAATGAATGAGGTCAAGGCCCAAAAAATAATACGTTCCAATTAGGCATTGAAAGCAGCACCTCTAAGAGGGTCTGGTCACATGTTTCTACGGGCTATGGTCATCAACCCCCTCGGAATGGATTGATGACCATCCTCCAATATAGCTATGGGAAGTAGCTATACTAATAGCTATATTAGAGATCTTATAGCTACACTATATCCATATCCGCCTTTGGACCATGTGACACATGGATACACATGGCACATCTTGCCAACTTCAAGGGATCCAAACGTCCCCACCTTGGTAGATGATGCAAACGGCCAGCAGCGTCTTGGACCGCCACACCGCAGCCAGGATCTCGGCGAGCACTCCATCGGACACCATGGGGCTGTGAGGGTAAACAACCAATACCAATACCATAGTGAGATACTGATACTAAGTAACAACCACAATAGACATCATAGTAAATTCATGTAAATTCATAGTATAGTATCATGATAAAGCCCAATCATGAGGGATTTAACCCTCCAAACAAGAGTGATACTATGATATATTATGAGGATTTAAATAACTAGAAAAATGGGTTGACCTATTTCTTGTGGCCATTGAACCAATGGATTTGGCATTTGATGGATTTGTACACTCGATTCTTTTCTGCGACAAGCCCATTTCATGGCAAAGTTCTGCTGAGATTGTGATAACTTCACGATGCTGGACGCCTTTCTTAGTGCTGGGGCCAGGAATGTGAAAGAGTAAAAAGGATCCTGGGCAGGTCTGCGACATTGATCGCTTGAAGAGTTAAGACAATAATTTTAAAATAAAAAAGCACACATGTTACCCTCTGGTAATTTAACGTAGCTATTGAACATGGCCATTAATAGTGGATTTTCCCATTAAAAATGGTGATTTTCCATAGCTATGTTAATTTACCAGAGGATACCAGAGGGTACAAAACACAAAGGTGTCCTATTTTTTCCTGCCATGAGAAGCGAATTCCCACCCTGAAGGCTTTCAGGCTCTGACAAGTCCAATGACCCACACCTTGGAGCGAAGGTATAGAAGCTTTGGAGTCCTTTCCTCTGAGCATTTCATTGACTGCGAAATCATTTTCAACAATCACTTTCGGAGGATTGTTAACCCCAAAATTAATTCGCGTACGGCGTGGAATGGACTATTCCGGGCGATTGATACTGATTACTGCTGCTAAGACACGTCCCTAAAGTCTGCAGATATCCATACCCACTTTCCTCCTCCGAGGCCCCAACACAGGAAGTAGGCCCGGTCTCCACAGCAATCTTAGCGGGGCTGAATCGGTGGTGTGGAATGTGGGGATATCTCCAAACCATATACCCTCCGATAATTTAACAGTCCGCGATTGAATATGGCTCATTTCGTTTGATGATTTACACTTTCCAGATGGGGGTCTTTCCTAGCACTCTGTAAAATTACTTGAGGGTAAAACTTTGCCAAAAGACATCAAAAACGACATTACAAACCATGGAACAACATGAAAAAAATACAATTTACCAGCATATGAGTGTTCTTTTCTACTTTCGTCAGATTTCTGAAACTTACCGTTACGTCTAGTGAGTCTAGTGGTCTTTCAAATCCGCTTGGGCAACGGTCAAGAATCATTCCCCATCCCCCATACTGTGAATATCCACCAACAGGGGTACCTGCCTACCTTCCCCCGCTGCGCAGCATTGTTTTGTCAGGGCAGAGTTCTGCAGGGGTCATCAGAGCCTGGCCGTGGCTGTTGATGAGCCGATCAGATCTCAGCTACTCGCATGTACATCCCAGTTGACCATAATAACTATACCCGTGGTTGTATTGAGATATGGTACTATGGTACTGCGGTCGGAAATATTCGTGGATTAGAACTTACATATACTTGCATGAGTCTGCATGAGTCATAAGAATAACATTTCACTAGCTGGTATGCACATCCACTTTGCCCAGTTGAAACTCAAAAGGGAGCTTCACATCTCCGGCCCACTCGGCTTCTGGCATCCACATATTCATGGCCAATCTCAAATAATGGTCCCACATAAATATCACATTGGCTGGTAATGTGTTTCCATATTGGCCATTATGACCACCCAGAAACTTCCTAAACTATTATCGTTAGTTCATGTTAATGATTTCTAGGTTTCGTCCAACATATCACCTAAATTTACGAATTTATGTTATGTGACATATAAATATCACCCATCAAAGATTAATATGTTAGGTAAACTAATTTCACCTAACAATTACCTAACTATCACCCAACATATGAATCTTTCACGCCCAATCCACCGATTTTTTCCCCTCAGTTTTCACCTTGACTCGAGGGACGAGTTCATCTCCGCCGCCGCTTGGCCCTGGGGGGTCGAAGATGTCATCTATGAATATATATAGTCGAATCACCATCTACTAGAGGAACATCATATCAATGGGAATTAAACTGGATCCTAAAATGGACATAGGCCTTACATAGGCCTTATATATGGTAGGTACCTCCATTTTAGGATCCTGAAATTCCCATTGATCATAGCTAGTAGGAATCATAGTTCATCATGATAATTAATCATGATAGTTAATCAGAATATTCTATAGTTAAACATCTACTCTATGAGGGCACATCGTAGTTTAATCCTCATAGTCAATAGATGCTAATATAGAGAATTCATCATCTACTAGTGTTTTTTGATGTTTTTGAAAGTTCCAGAGTTGGGAGGGTGATAAATCTAGATATTGATTTCACCTATGAATTTAATTGAGGAATGGTGATGCCAGTTAAGGCAATCCGAGAACACCAAGGAGTGGACAGGAAGTACATCTATAGGGAATCCCCCGGTATTGGACAGCTGTATCTACAAGGATTGACAGCCTTCTGCCATGCTAGAGTTGCAGCAAGGTGATTCCTGTTTTAGTCATTCTAGTCCTTGAAAATGACCGAGAAGAACAACACACTTTGCAAGAAAGCACCACTAGCTGGATCTGTTTGGTCGTTCTCATCCACGCCGATTCACATGCTCCTCATTGTGACATCACCAGCCAGTTGACATCGGTTATATCCCGAGCTAATGAAGCCCCTAGCCGAGCTTTGTCTTCTGTATTTAGGGTTAGACCTCCCATGTTGAAACCACCAAGCCAACCATCAACATACCATTTACAGTACATCCCCAATTATGGTTGGTAAAGTCCAATGTTTGGATGATTCAACAAATACAGCTAATAAGAAAAAACACATTATGTTTTTGGCTATATGCCGTCATAGCCCCATTCTCTGCCCAGAAAAATGATTGGTTTCATTCTCTTAAATGAACGAATAAATGACGGGTTATACATATATACATACCTAGAATATATATATGTGTGTGTGTGTGTGCAAACATGCATACATTACATACATACATACATATAAATATATATATATATATATATGGTCACCGCCCTTTCGAGAGACCACCCTTTCATATTTCCATGGCACTATCTAACTCAATGAGTACTACTTCCAAATACAGGAATGCCCAAAAACGCTGTAATGTACAGTTTGAAATAACATATTTTTAAATTTCAAGAAAAACATTCTGAAGGAAAGGGAACAAATATGCAACAAGTGGAGGCCAAAATTTGGCCAAAATTCACTCAACATATATTGTAACACTCTTCTCATCTTTCCAAATCCCCCTCCCCCCAAAAAACCTCGAGAAACCCTAAAACACCTAAAAAAACAATATTCTGACACTCTTGTCTGGCCACCCCCATCCCCAGGACCTCTAGAAAATTGTGTGTGTTTTGTTTTTTAGGGTTTTTGGGTTTTCTCTAGGGTTTTTCGAAGTTTGCCCCCACCCCCATCTCGAAGAAAGCAAAACCACAAAACAAACAGCTTAAAACTTAAACCAATTCAACAAATAAACCACATGCAATCACATCCGTTGCATCAGCTACCAGTCTCATACACTATTAAGTAACACATCATGATACATCATCAACACATCATCATGTAGAATATCTATCTATCTATCTGAATATATATATTATATTATATATATATATATATGAATTTATCAACATACACAGAACCTAGGCCCTCGCCCCTCGGGTCCCTCGCCCACTGCGTCCCGCCTCTTGGGTTTCGTCTCCTCCGCCTCTGCCGCAGGCAGCGCAGCTAGAGCCGCGGGGCAGCCCTCAGGTGGCCTGGGATGGAGACATGGCAGCCGATTTCGCATCACATGCTACACACACCTTGGAATCCTGCAATATAAATCTATATGCGTATATATTATATATAATTGATTATAATTGTATGCCCATGTGCATGTATCACTACATACACACACATGTGTATATATATATTATTGTTATTATTATTGTTATTATTGTTGTTGTTATTTTTGTTATTATCATCATTATTACATTATCAGTATTACTATTATTATTCTTATCACTATTATTATGTTTCATATGTGGTTACACAATGTTACATATGCATCTGGAATCTGTTGGTTGATGATGTTGATGTCACTTGATTTGTCTACAGCTCATGAACCACTTTTGGAGGATTTTGGGCCTGTGAGGGATACATGACAACGCCAGGTCCCATGGCCACATCATCAAGTGGCTGGGCGGAAATCAAGCGATGCACTTCAGCGTCCAGGGCTTCCAATGAAACCTCAGCAGCACTGCGGCCGGATTCTTCTGGTGAAATAATGTTAAATACTCCTATAAGCCTATACTTTAAGATCTTTAAGTTGGGAAATGGATGTAAAATGATGTAAGTCCGTAAAAGGTTGGTAACCGGCATGTAGCTTGTAACCAACGTCTACCATGTGCGGTCCCAATTCCGGGTGATCACCAAGCGGTCACCTGCCCAGAAACCGCATCGATGTCCTGATGCTCACGGCGATGAACCTGGCATGGGCATGTCTGAAAATGGGGTATCCCTACATCCACTGCTCCGTCATCCCCATTAAAGAAGATTCAATAACCAATCATAAAAAAATAAAACTAATGTTGATAGTTTAGAAACATTTAGAAACCAACATTTCAGACAAACCCATCTTTCCGAGCTGTAACAAGGCGGATTAGGGGAGAACATTTGAGTTGCAACTTGGCTGAGCTGGTTTCGTTCACCAACATATAACTGTGGGGGAAAGAGGGAACACCATTACCAGTTTCATCCGTTTTCAATTTCCGACCAATCCATACCATCCACGACCCAACAGAAACTTGACCTGCCCTCATTTCATCTCATTTCCACACGCCCAACAGGCGCCTCCAAAGCCTTCCGGTTCTTCTCCGCTTTCTTTCCCACCGTGGGGCCGTTCACCACAGAGCTGGTCAAGCGCTGGCAACTTCGGCAGGTCTCCAATTTGGCCACCTGATGAAACCCACTACCGGCAATCCAAGCTGGCATCCAAAATCATCCAAATATATTAAACTACCATGAAAACGAATGAAACCGATTCGGGATTTTACATGATCAGCATCATTGTACACTGTCATCTTGTTAGATTGTCAAATGGTCAGTCTCCAAGGGTGGCTCAGTCAGGATCCTGCCAGCATTGGCGATGGCCGCCGCGGCCGACCCGAGGCCACCATACCCCAGTTGAAAACCCCAAATGGCCAGCTGCCAGCCAGTTTGTCTTGTTCATCTTGTTTTTCTACTTGCTGCTGACTATCCCAATTGTGGTATATGGTTGTTAATCCACATGAAGTCCGTTTGTTTGTTGGTTTCAACCCATTCACTTGCAACACATGAAATCATATGCCAATTGGTAATTGGTTGGGTGTGGGCCCAAGATCTGGTAGCACATGGTAGCACGGTTAATGTTGTCTAGCCAATAATGATACCTTGTCAATAGTAGAAACTTTTTTCCCCAACTCCAGTTTTATCTCCAATGCTAAAAGACAATTAGCTTAATTTGATTTTAGTATTGCCAAAAAACTCATGTTCTGACCTTGTCCAGAGGGCATGGCCAATAGTGGACCCAACATGGCAATAGTAGACACTTTTTTCCCAACTCCAGTTTTTTCTCCAATACTAAAAATCAATTAGCCTAATTTAATTTTAGTATTGCCAAAAAACTCATGTTCTGACCTTGTCCAGAGGGCATGGTATAGTTTTTTCAGATGTTTGGAGAAAACAAAGTAAAGCAAAACCCTTTTCAAAGCAGCAAACACTTTTCATCAACAAAAGCTTAGGCTTAGATTGAAGAAATCTGATCCAATTACCAAACAACTGATTTCCTTATAAAACCCTTATTCAAAAAAACAAGAACACATGTCCACAAAGGGTATCCCCTTTACAAGCCCCAGAATAGCAATAATAAACCTGCACCAGGCATGGCAATAATGAATTCCAATTGTGCTTCCCCTGGTTTTGTTTTCAGATGTTTGGAGAAAGCAAAGTAAAGCAAAACCCTTGTCAAAGCAGCAAGCACTTTTCATCAACAAAAGGTTAGGTTCCAGAAATCTGATCCAATTGTCAAACAGCTGGTTTCCTTATAAAACCCTTATTTAAAAAAACAAGAAAACTAGTCCACAAAGGGTATCCCCTTTACAAACCCCATAATAGCAATAATAAACCTGCACCAGGCATGGCAATAATGAATTCCAATTGTGCTTCCCCTGGTTTTGTTTTCAGATGTTTGGAAAGCAAAGTAAAGCAAAACCCTTTTCAAAGCAGCAAGGAGAATCTATCAGATACATATCATGATCCCAGCCATAGGGTTCCAGGAATTTACTATTGGAATGCTGACCACCCCCTAAAAAAAAAGCAAACATTTAGGGGGGTTATTATTAGGCAGCCTACATTAGCGCCAAAATAGCCCATAAATGAACGATTCAGCTCACCAACAGAATGGTCCAACAGCTTCTGACTATGCGAAACTAACAGCATCCAACAACTAACTGTAAAGGTGCATTCCTTCCGCTACAAGTTTCACCTTTTTTTTGTGGCAAAGGTAATATCGGTCAAGCAGCTACATTTGCTTGTATCCCTATTTTCACGCTGGTTTTCCAATTTAAATCCCAATATGAACATACTGGTGCAAAGTTCCGCTGCCAATCTCTTGGATTCAGATTCTGTCCTTTTGCGAGGGATTAAGAACCCAAAAATTTGGTACCCTTCACACCCAGCGGCCTCCCCCAGCAGACCAGACTCCTCCAGCAAGGGGGCCAGGCTGGGCTGCTGCGGCAGCAGCCAGCAACGCCTCGCTTTTCGATCTCGGCATTAAAAATGGGGTGACTTTATGGCTATGGCTATGGTTATATAATAACACCAATAATAGCAATAACAATAATAATAACAACAACAATAATAGCAATAACAACAATACTAATAATAATAAGTAGTAGTAGGAGTAGGAGTAGGAGTAGTAGTAGTAGTAGTAGTAGTAGTAGTAGTAGTAGTAGTAGTAGTAGTAGTAATACATACATACATACATACATACATACATACATACATACATACATACATACATACATACATTACATTACATTACATTACATTACACTACACTACATTACATTACATTACATTACATTACATACATATATATATATATATACAGTACAGGTTTATGAGAAAAAACATGATGAATATACCAAGAGACTGTAGAAGTATAGCTTTGCTAAAATGGAATCAAAGCCGAAGTCCGGCCCAGAATTAAGATCGAAATGAAACTGACTGAATAGAACAGGTAAAAAGGTTCCAAAAAAAAAACAGTTACTGACTAGATGCTTCGGAGTCCATGTTCAACATCATGTGTTCAACATCATGACGGTATCCTTTCCATGTCAACATGGTCATGCATAGTAATCCCCCATACCACCCTGTAATTTGGGGGCTGCTTGCAATAAAATGCTATAACTGGGAAATTTACATTCTCGGGTGTAAACGCGGCCAATCTTAGATACCGAGAATTAATTTCTTAGCTGATTAGCTGGTTATATAGTCAATATAGTTAATAATACAAATTAATGTCTTAGTACATAAATCTATCATCCCCATTTACTATATATAGCATCAAGAGACTACCCTCTGGTAATTTGTTACATAGCTATTGAAAAAATTGCCATAGAAACAGTGGATTTTCCCATTCAAAATGGTGGATCTTTCCATAGTTATGTAAACGTTTACCAGGTTTACCAGAGGGTATCCACCCAAGATTCACCCAGAAAAAAAATCCAAACAACACCTGACCGCTTTTTTTTGCGAGTCTCACATCCGCCACAGGCAGCACCGCCAACGCACAGGCCATCGGCGAAAGTGGCTTGGCATCGCTGCGCAGCGCCTGCCGGGGATCTTGGCGAAAAACCCTTTTTGGTGCCCCCAAAAATCCATTGGTGACTCATCATCATCCCAAAAAAAATATCAGATCTGGACAGTATTGAAAAATATGGATTAAAAAAAAAAAACGTGATTGAAAAATACCCCATAAAAAAAAAAAAAACATTTCAAAAAATACGACATCTGGACAAAATTTGCTGATTTTTTCGGGCCATTTCCCATGGGATTTCCGCGGGATTTCCCCAAGTCCAACTGGTACAACTGTCGTATCCCCGCGACAAAGACTGGGTGTTTCTCAAAAAGGGGCACCTTTTTGACCACTGGCTTCCACATTAATTCGGATGGGCGCAGATATTCCCCTTCAGCCCGATGAAAATCCATAGTTTCCCATGTAAGATCTGTCCAAAACCCATAGAAAGAAACAATAATCATACCATTTTGCGGATAATTAGCTGCCCCAATCCTAACCAACATTTCCCCTCAAGGGACCCCCGATGGCCTTGCAACAGCCAGGCTCCAATATCGGCAGCTGCTGCGCGATGAGCGCGGCGGAGGCAAAGTGCTGCAGTGCCGCGCAGAAGCGACGCTGGAGATCTGGGCAGTGGCCTGGTGCAACTAGTTTGACCCGTACCCAAGTGAGCTGGTCTGGAAATGGTGTAATGTGTGTAATGTATTGTAATGTACTACATGATATTCCCAGTTATAGCAATTTATAATATCATTTAACGATTTAATGGGATAATGAGCATTAACCAATGCAGGATTTTGGGGTACAGCATTTTCAGACAAAGCCAATTGGGGGAACTGGTGGCAACGAAAAGCGGATTTATGATATGAAGTCATTATGAAGTCACACAATTCACAGATCTTCGCAAAGCAAAGGTTCATCTTAAATACCTCTCGCTGGGTATTCCCTGATTGATGGCTAAAGATACACTACCTCATACTACCTCACTACATCTCACTACCCTCTGGTAATCCAACATTAGTTGGATGATTTTCCCAGCTAGCCACGTTTCTGGACACCGGCGACCCCGAGCCCAGTGCAGCCTGTGGCGTAGGTTTCAAGGCACCACATTAGCGCCTCTTCAGGGGCGCTGTGAGATGGTTGATGGGAGGGGGATATCACCAGAGATGTCTATAACCCCATTATAGTTATATCCCTATATCACTGGAGTGGTTGAAGGGAAAATTACAGGAAACCATTGCTTTCCCCATGAAATACAAGGGTTTCCTGTAGATGTCCTTTAATTAAACCAATCCAATGACTATAATCTGCCTTCATGATCCCTATTGTTCTTAAGACAGTGCATCAAAAAGGAAACGCAAATGGTCAATTTTCACCAACCGTTAGTTACGTTAGTTGTGTTAATCCCATCTCCAAAACAATCAGCCTCCCTATACAGGACCACCCCGCAGATCCCCTATCAATGTTAAAACAAAATGAAGCCATGATATTTATACAATTCACCCACAGGTGCCACCCAAAAGGTAAAGAACAACTTTCCCCCGATATTCCAGTTGTCCATAGCTCATAAAAATATATACTGTATATATATAATATGTTCTATTCTATCTCATCAATTCATATCAATTCTAGTGTCCAACCTTTCTCATTCGCCAGGCCGTTGCGCCTCCACGTACTGCTGCGCGCCCTCCTTGGCGCTCCAAGCAGTGACTTTCTGAGGGCTCCAGGCACCTCCCAGCCCTCCGAGGAAGTCCTCTTCCAGGGCGCAAGGATGGCGTGGTAAAAAAAAGGCCGTTTCGAAGCAAAAAAAACCAGCACCTCACCAGCAAAAAAAAAAATCTAAAACATGGCTAGTCGATGGTAGTTGACCTAGCTGAAATGGTGATTGCAGCTGAAGATATCGAGATTTTGCTGAGGATGTTCCCAACCTGCAAAGGGGAATTCATCACAAGAATGAGGTTTAAACCACGCAGCTAGGGAATTAACTGATAATCATGGGCCAAAGCGATGGAACACTGATCCTACAGGGAGCTCTTGGAGTAATTGTTTAAAATCAGATTGAAAACAAATCAGATTCACAATGTGTGTGGCCGAAAATCTCTAATTACCAGAATGCCAAAGCTTCTTGTTGCCCAGTGCCCAAAGTGTGAATGGGCCCCCTAATAATGTATTTGTTGACAACATCATCGCCATCTTGATCTGTGAAATCATCATCACCCTGCTCATCCTCATCCTCATTCCTCATCATCATCATCATCCTCCTCCTCATCCTCCTCCTTCTCCTTCTCCTCCTCATCATCATCACCACCACAGCCGCCCATGTGATGATCAATGATGCTTGGCTACTGCAAATGCCCCGCGCAGAAGCACCTTAGTGCCGCCAAACACATCATTACCATCTGATTTACATGCCTCATCATGCCTCTGTGTGCTGTTTTGGTGCAAACATGTGATAAATACAATACCCATAGGATTCGGCCTCCGTCTCATGAACCGCATCAATCTCTATCCTGCCCTTCTTCCCACATATCCACATTTCAGCAAATACTGAAGGTTTTCTGCATCCGCATGGCAAAACAAGCCCAAAACAACGATTACAATGGCCGTTTGATTTTCAATATTTTTGGGTGTAAGATGGTGTAAGCAACCTGAATTCTTACCATTTCATTCACAAAGGATCCATATATGGCCATCACCAAACATCCATGCAGAACTTGGCGCCAAATGCTCTCCAGAGTCATCACTCTCCGAGTCCACCTCGGACAGTTTGATAGACCCGGAAGCCAGTTTGGGCCCTGATAATTGGCACCATCATTGCTATAATAAATCACATAGTGGGTTACATATGAAATTCATCATATGTACACCATATGGTCATATTGTTGGTGATATATCCCATTATGATTAGACCTCCATGTCAAAGACCATGGCGTGCATTTTGAGTCTCGCCTATTTTTTTCAGCTCATGGGCAACTATATCATACTCATATAATATGAATCTATATATATATAATTATATATATCTATGAATATATCATAATGCTGAAGGTAAACATGCAACATGCTTCAGGCTGTAGTGGAATTGTTTCCGGAAAAATTAGCGGCCAGTATTTTGATACAAACGGCACTTGAGTCGTCATTTCAGGATGGAAGGGTCATATGTCATATATATATATAGATCTTGGAAGATGCTTCCTGTAGAAGCCTTGATTGACCTACAAAAATTAAAACTGAAATCTGCATATAACTTATAACAACTTCCATAAAGATACAACTGTTTTTTCATCACTATTTTAGTATTTTTTGAGGATACTGTCTATCTCTTTGCAATATTTCATCTATATACATGTTGTAATTATACTATATGCATTGGTATTCCTCAAGATTGGGTGCCCAAAACCTTTTCCCATACAAATGTTGGGTCCCCCGTTGTCAAGAAATCTCCATCTTAATTCACTTCAACCATACCCCATTGTATTTACACGCCACTAGTTATAACAACTATATGACGATTTGGGACGCCACTATGTTGGTTCTTACAACTCCCCATCTTCATCTCAATCATAGAATAGGCTCCAATTATTGCCAAATCTCAAAAGCCCGTTTTTTTTTGACAGTTCAATTTGAATACTTTTTGGATCTTTTTGGGGTACTTGTAAAGGGCGGATTGTCTCTGAGATGTGCTGACCAGTTTCTGTACCCAAATGCCAAATTTCACCGGACGTCGGACGAGGTTAATAGTTGGCCCAACCAGGCTCACATCAATTAAGACTCCTATCATCTCCTCTCACACCACATGTGGCAACCAACGCTTCGGCAATGTGGGCAAAGCATGACACAAAAAACAACTAAAACTAACTACCATTCAGAATATCACAAGGGCAGATCCAGGAATGAGATGGCGAAACTGGCAGAGTTTGGCCCCTTCGCAACTGTTTACATTGGGTGCAAGAAACGTACAAAAATACTACAAGAAACCACGGATCTGCATTTTAGCCAGCTGAACTGAGGTATGATGTATTTGGTTTCGATCTACAGCACATCAGGCAAAGGCGTAAAACTGGGACTCAAATGTAAAGCACCCACAAAAGCTCAACACATATGAATGGAACCACGAGAATTGAAAATTTAGGGTTCCAATTATTATGTGATGTTATGTGTACACCATAAACCACCAAGGTGCCAATCCTGTCGCACCAGCCCCACGCCAGCGTAGATAGCGAGGCCACAAGTCCTCCACGGCCACATCGCTCCTGAAACTCGAAGTGGTGACAGGTGAGGCACGAGACAAGTGGGGATTACATATGGAAAAAAACCCATAAAACATGTGGATTCAAAATGATCTAAATCAGAAATTTGGGCTTCACCAACACAGGGGTATAATGGGGACGTGGAATATTCATGGGATACTCAAGACTCAAGATAAGTGAATATTCTCCGGTATCCTCAAACATGGCTAGCTGGGAAATCCCCCCAAAATTGGGGACTTTGCACTGCCATGTTTGATCACCATTGGGTAGCCATCAAGAATGCAGGAAGCGACACTCTGAGACCCCAAGCTGTCCAATGTTTGGGCTTTCCGCATGTTTTCAGCGTATAGTATATAGTATATATATACATATATCTATGTATATATATATATGTATAGTGGTATACATATATATATATATAGTGTACGCATAATTTGGTTTTCGTATGTTTTCGCCATGAAACATGGCATTTCCTGCCACAACAAAATTGGTCAACAAAAACACGGAAAGCTGCAAAACGTCCTGAACGTTGGAGAATTTACCGACCTCCGATCATATCAAATTTCCCTTTGCAACACATAGATAGGCACCCAAAATGATTGTACATCATAATATAACTATACAATTCAATGACGATCTGAAGGCTGCAAACCAAATCACCCCATTTCATCCTCCCAAGTTTGTCTTGGTGCTCCATCTAACTCACAGCGGTCAAGATTCATCAACTCCGGCAAATAGTCGTTGCCACGGAGGCATGTGACGCAGATAAAGTCCAAGCGCACCTGCTGTTCCTCCTGGGACTGCTCCAACATGGCACAACAGGCTGCTGGTTGGGCAAGTGCAGGCTGTGTAAACGTGTCAAAACTCTCTATCTCTTCACGCACATCAATGAGTGACATTCCCCTTGCTCATTCGAATCTGCTAAAGGGACAAACTGGATAATCAAGTGTCCATTGGGCATGGTTTATGTTTAAATATGTCCAATTATAGATTATCACAATTACACCATCCATTTCTCGTAGCATTGACTCATAATCAGGCATGGTGCATGGTTTATGGTTTGAGTTTGCCACATTGCTTGGATTCTATTGCCACCTGCACATTTCTGCCAGCTGCTCCTTTGGTGTTGGGGATGAGGCAGGCGCCGCCAATTTCACAAACTGCCTGGCTCTGATTTGGTCGCTGCCCTACGTTTTATAACTCGGCCAGTCTGTCAAAAGAGGCACAACCAAATTAGCTGATCCAACATCAAACAACATCCACCAGGGCTGTTGTGCTGAGATTTCCTCATTAACAAGACATAACAAGACTATGACGTGCGGCGCCGGGCCTCAAAATGGATTGCACCATCTGGTGGGTCTGGCACACACGCCTCGCATGAAATTCCAAGCTGCAGGTTTTTTTCAAATCCTTGGGATTGGTCAAAATTGGGGCACCCTACTGGTGCCCTCAAAATCAAGTTGTTGTTCTACTAATCCTCTCTCCCTATTACTAAAACACCCCCCCATCCCCAAATGGTAAACACGGTGATCTATTTTTATTATTAGGGGGAATTTTGTATTAGGGTGCCCCTAATATTCCAATGAACACCTTAAGAATAAAAATAAAAAACTCGATTTCAAATTTGATTAAATCCCTTATTTAAATCTACGTAACATATTGCCAAAAACTGGATTTCGAAGCTTTCCCCTAATATTCCAATGAACACCTTAATAACAAAAATAGAAAACAACAACTTGTGAGATGGGACCCTCATAAACAACCTCAGGTGGCATCAGGTGGCATCAGGTGGCAACCCATTGTTTCACCATTCTGTTCTCCTATTGATTCTCAATTACCACAATTAAGAATCCGATTATGCCCAACCAAAAAAAACCGGAAGTGCCACACCAATCCTATTCTTTCTATTTGGGGGAGTTTTAGTAATAGGAAGAAGGATTAAACCATACAATTTAGCAGGTTTTGCTGGGAAAAATACCAGTACCTGTCTTCGTGGCAGCCCTGATTCTTCAGAATCTAATAGAATCTCATTGTTGAAGATATTTTCCAATATTTTCCATTCTTGTTCACTTATCCTCGCTATATTCCCAACTTTCCTGGCTACGTCCCAATTCTTGTTGCTGTCTCCACACCGTGGCTGGCAATTTCATGTCTCATCATGTCTCTGTTGCAGACACTGCACAACATGTCACTGGTATTACTCGATGGTTCACTGATCCCCCAATGACCATTTTTCATAGTCATGAATCATATACCCTCTGGTAATTTAACATAGCTATGGAAAGATCCACCATGCTATTAATGGGAAAATCCACTATTTCTATGGCCATTTTCAATAGCAAACTGTTAGTCATTACCAGAGGGTATGTTTCATCATTTTCCATGGCAGTCTCCAGTGATTCCCCAAACCCCCCCAGGTGGCACAAGCACGTCCGCCGCCCCTGCGCGTCGATGGCTTCTTCGCAGCGCGCCACACACACGGCGCGCGGAGCACCCAGCAGGGCCACTGGGACTAGGAACCTCAGCAGCTGTGGGAAGCACTGATATATGATCAAATGATCAGATGAAGGATGCTTTCATCCCAACATTGTAAGATAGGATGTGATTTGAAGTGTTCTTTAGTTTGATAAAACGGATCTAAAAACAATTTGTTAACCGAAGAGAATAGGCGTAAAACAAGATATGAAGACTTTTGATTAATTTAAGAGAAGGTTCTTATCCCACAAACAATGGATCTGAAACGAGTTGTTTGCCCAAACATCTTGAAAATGGAGGCTGAAGACTCTTGAAATGGTACTTGTCAAAGAAGTTCAAGGTATTTTATGATCGAACCAAAAAGTAAACAAACACATGTACAGAATGGAGAAACATCTGTCCTCCAATGTTTGCATCGTGTAGAAATGCTCAAAAACTTTCGGAGCCCATTTTGGCAGCACCGAATCACGGATCCTGGGTGCTGGGTGCCCTGGGTCATCCTGCATCCATGTCATTCCCCTTGCAGCCCTGCACAAAGATGCCGGCATACCAAGGCACAAATCTGAATCGGTGCCAACGATAACGTGATTTTCCTCACATGCGTTGGCAGTGTAAGTACTGAGTTGGCAACATCTGCCCTCAAAATAGACTCCAGTGACATTACCCTGCATCACTGTGCATCATCATGTGCCATCTGATGCCCATGCACCTAATCTTGGGAAGTGCCACCCAGTCTCGTCTTCGCGCGCCTTTGCAGATTCATTCCTGGAAACATGGATTGAATCATTGAACATACACTTGGTTGCTTCACCCTTCCTGCAAGATATGAATAGATATGGTGGAAAAGAATGAAAAAGTGAAGTTGCATGAACTTTATAGGACTTATAGGGCATCTATATATTTATAGATCATATAAGCCTATGTCTATATATAAACATATACAATATACAATTCCATATATACATATTGTACATATGTGTGTGTGAACCCTCCAGGAAGGCTCTATGAACTTACCAATCTGCACCGTGACGTCCTCACGAGTTGGAGCATGATTTTATGCTCCCCTTCGCCAGGTTCACGTGGCCCACTGACCTCAGTTCAATAAAGTGAATATGTATGTGTATCTATATCTATATATATATATATATCTATATATATATATGAACAATATTATAAATATATAACATTATATATATATATATATATACATGCATTATACATGTGCATCATCCTGAAGTAGCTAGAATTATGAACATGTCAGAATTATTGCCATTTTTGGTGACAAAAATGGAAGGCATATTTGATATCCTAACACCTTGGACGCAGCTTCAGCTCCCCTCCAAGATGGTTCAAGGGGCAGTCACTTTCAGTTCTGCTGGGAGCTTCCCTTCAGCCTGGCGCGCTGATCGACTTGAATGTGGATCCAGGCATTATAAGTGATGTTTAATCCCCACACATAACTCCAAGTTCCATTCGATGATCTCACAGACACAAATCCAAACTTAGATCTTACGAATTGCTGAGACATGCGCAAACTCAAAGCTCAGCACCTTCAAGAAGATTCAAGAAGAAAAAGATTAAGAATAAGATTCAAGAAGAATGATGGGCCATTCGATCCGTCCCTTTCGATCCTGTCGGCACTTGAAATGCTCCTCGAGGCTGGCAGTCAGGCGGTCCATCACTGGAACCCCAGGCGTGAGCATGTTCAAGGTCACACCTGTGCCATTGGGATCTGCAGGACCCCCCTGGAGTCCTGGAGTATGTATGATGTCACATGATGTCACCAAATCAAATCTGATTTGGTGAACTCTGTAAGTTTTCCTGGACCCCAATTCCTCATTTTTTGCTGTAAGCAATGGTGAAACCTGGAGATCTTTCGGGGTCACGGTCACTGTGGCGTACGATTTGTGGTGATTTAACCGTTCTGTCTTTTCGGTGGGGTGAATCATCACGTCACAACAAAAAGGTGATGTTTGATACCCCAACACGGGGACACACACACACACAAACATATACTGTACATATGAATCATATAATAAGTATCATATAATTAAGATTAATTATGTATATATCCGGACCTCTGAAAAATGAAACAAACCATTGAATGGACAACAGGATCTGGAGATGTACTCAAACGGTAGTTGGTGCAATTGTTTGCGACAAGCCACTGATTCGCCGTGAAGTTAGCACGTGCTCTGACCCACGTTTACTTTACTTCGTTGTCCATCTCCATACTTTTGCTTCCTATCCCGGACATATAAGAACGCATTTCAATACATCATCAAATAACGCACGTTTGAAATACTAAGAATATGACTGATATATCGCGAATCATCCCAAACAGGGTATTGGCACATATGCAACCATTGCCAAAATGTTGAAGCCACAAATGGGCAGTGCATGTTGGTGTTCAGCCTCTCTGAAACTCAGAGGCTCCTCACATCCGCCTTTTTTCCCTTCGTTTTCTGCCCGCTCAGAGACAAAGCTGTGAGACATTTGTCGCATCGCCATGTCGCCTAAACGAGCTCTAGGACTTCCCATGCTCCGAAGCAACGGGGAAGAGTCACATTAATCAGACCAAACGGCAGGTGGGAGTCACTCAGTTCACTATCAGTTTCTATTTGCTGTCTGAATCATTTTTGACTGCAGCCACATCATAATTAATTACAAGTCATAACATCAACTTAAGCTCAAATGATAGATTGGGATTATTTTACCGTAAAAAGAAACCCATCACTTGAGAATTTTGGTGACGATCCTTTCTTTTTTTGACGAATAATCAATTAAAATACTTTCTGAGAAGATATTATAGTAATCCCCCCAAGTCATATCACATGATATCACAAGCATAGACTCCCTCAGAAGTTACTTGGATCCATGGATCCATGGGTTTAGTTTGAGGATGGCGACCCCCGCCCCCCTCCAGTCTTTAAAGGAGCCATCGCTTGATTGTCTCCACCTTCGCGCTGCCCAAGGCACCTCTATTATGCCTATGCCTAGTGATGGTGACTAGTGGTTGATGGCTTCAAATATGGCATACCCATGATGTGATACACTCCGCTGAAGGACAATTGCATTTATCTGTGACTACAATGTGTAAGTTCAATTGCTACCATGTTGCTATGTAAAGTCTATGTTCCAGGCTTAAGGAAATACGGTCCTTCTATTGGTACAATACGTACCTAAATAGCTACCCTTTGGCGGTGGGAAACTGGCCATCTGGCAATGGGTAACTCCCCACCAGTGATGAGCTTTCCAGCAGGTCAATCGGGATCACAGGTAGTATCTCTCAACCTAGCATTTAAACAGCCAGAAGGAAAGTGAACAACAAATAATAGCAAGAATAACAAATCCGACATGCAGAAAAACATGCCCATGCCAAAGGAACCAATTGCTAGCCGCCTATAGCACTTGTGAAGCTTCTGACACGAAGAAAGTCACAGGTGGCGTTTTGCCTTGGCGGTGTAGGAGACGGTCTTTTCGCCAAGCTTATAAGAGATGATTCAATGCAAGGTCGCTGTGCCCACGGACAGCTCAATGCCTTTCCATGGGCCAATCTTCGAATTTGAGCGTAACATTGGCTAGTTCCTGCATGTAAAGACACCACAGAGTGCCAAGAAAGAAACATATATCGAATCCGCGATTGTTTTGCGGATTGGTGGTGGTTCAAGAGCATCGTTACCAGTCAAGAACCAGATTGCTAAATTATACAATCAACTGTCATGAACACGACATTTATCAGTCACATGTTCCCATCTACCTCTGTTAAACATGGTTAAACAACCTTCACTCATCGTAACCATCCACTCCGGGAAGTCGCAGGTGCGTGCACTATGGGGGCAATCCCACCTGGCATCCCACGAGTGGGATCCAGCGGGGACACCGTCATGAATTGATGCATCGCTAAGGCATTGGCATCTGGACCACTTTTTGCCGGTTGCCACGGCAGTTCCACATTTCTCCATAACATTCCATAACATGGCAACTTGACAGGGAAGGAGCACCTGCAATCTACTGTCATCACCTGAACCAAATGAACTATCATTTGTCCGGACCTTCATCACCACAAATCATAACATCTCCTTTTGGATAGCTTCACCGCCCATTGAAGCACCATTTTCACCCGTTATTTTCATCCATAAACCGGCGCAAAAAATGCAACACAACATAACAACACAACACAACCTCATGTTGTAGTCTGTCAATGTCTGTCAAAATTCACAGATCATCCACCGGCTTCACCGGGCCCGGGTGGCCCCTTGGTCACTTCCACAGATTCGTGGCCAGCTCTGCATCGCTGCCGCTGCAGCTGCGCAGCAAGGCCTGTCGCATCTGCTCGACAGAGCCGTAGCCGGGCAGCTTCAGAGTGGGAGATCCATCGGCCCCCGGCACCTGGGTGGGGTGGGGCCCTGGGGAAGGAGATCTCTAAATATATGCCATAAAATGGAAATAGTCAAAGTATTGAAGATCTATAGAGTTTGAGTTGCTGATTGCTGTCGTTGTTTTTTAGAATATGTTTTTGACATGTTTTCTTTGGGCAGTTGGTTGGGAAAAAGGTTTCGAACATCCATTTGTGGCTGGGATTGTTGTTCAAAATGAAAGGGCCCCTCTGTTGATGGACCAAAGGGAGAAGCCATCTATGATGCTAGGTGGCACGTTTATGGTATGGTATAGTATGGTATGTTGCTTTCTCAATTTGTTATGTTGAATTTTCATGAATTTTCATGAAATGTCATGTGTAAACTTTTCTGCAAGGATGCAATCGTGGGCACAGCTACCAGTTCAAACTGGGCAACAACAACTCCATTGAACTGGGAGGGCCCCTGGTGCAGGCATTTGCAACCTCATTTAGCGCTGTGGGGCTCCATCGCAAGCAGAACGGCAGACGGAACTTGTGATTTTGTGGTGAGAATCTGATGTTTCCAAGCTTATTTTTGTATAGAATTTGGCGTAACTATTCTTTCTTGATTGTGTTTGGTACCTAGTGGCAGCCGTTCGTGAAAGGCATAGATGCAAACATATGCAAATGATATCTCGTTTGCAATGCAGCCCAGCTGGTCAAGAATCTCCACCAAAGCTGCGACAATGATTGGCCCCAATCAGAGTCATAAGTGTGTTATAATGGCCCCAAAAAGAGGCTCGTGAAATGGTAGTTGTAGTTCCCATATGTCCCCATGATAATGGGAACTTTTTTGAGAACATTGAGACACAATGGGTACAGTATGGTACCGTATATAAGTGGTAAGGATCCAATATGGACCCACACCTCAAGTTGATCAAATCAGGCACAACCTCGGGCAGCAATCCATCAGTTGGTGCCAAGATCAAGCCCTCCACGTCGCCTCAGGAAGATTGAGGGACAAATATCTAAGTGTTGGTGAGTACACAGCCAACAAATGGACTCCAACATGTTACAATCAGTTCCTCTCAACGCTAGAGACCGAGTTCAGCCGGTTTCCCTTATCTGGACATGCGAGGCAGTTCCTTGCGAGGAAACACATGGCTCCAGCAGGATAGTTATTCAATGCATTCCCATCATATGTGGCAAAACATTTTCCTAATTAAAATCGACATCCGCTAACATCAAATCACATCATGCAGCATCCATTCAAATTCGTTACCTTCCAGTAAATTAACATAGACCCTGAACATCTTCATCTTTTTGTGAAACACAAAAATCATCAAAAATCCGATTCCCCCTGGCAGGGTCCATGTTAATTTACAGGAGTGTAACCTCCATGATTTGCTAAGCCACCCATGACATCCCATGACCCAGTCGTCCCATGGCCCCCACCTTGCACTGTGAAGGCCCCTGTGGTGAACTCTAAGAGCCCTTGGCGCTGTTCGTTGCTCATGGCCTGCCGCAACCGGAGAAAACCATAGAAAAAAAAATATAGAGAAAATTGCAACATCCTATTATCTACTGATGTACTCTGCGATAGATGATGCACCAGGATGCATCTATATTTTGTATTATATTATGTAATATCTTCAATAAATAAATATATATATAGTGTATATATATAATTTTATAATCATTGACATACATGGGCAGCCTCAAAGATTGATCAAAAAAACATATTTTATTGTAGCCCAAAGCACCAAAGATTTGGCTTCATTTCTGGTATGTGGATGCATCTAGCATGAACGGCTAGCTACAGGACATAGGCGTCCCATAACTGCCCTTTGACAATGAGTTGCTTTTCTTCCTGAGAACCCTGCAATTTGGAATGCCACTGTTCAATAAGAACATCACCTACAACAAAGGGACTTTCGATTGTTATGTTCGCTTACCAAAGAGTGCCACCCAGTGAAAACTATAAAATTATCATGACACTTCCCAAAAAATGGAGGTTGGAAAACGACTTTCGGACTGGTATGTGGGCATACAGCAGAATCTTGGACTCGATAAATTTCAATTGTTCCGGATTTTGTGCAATGTCATCATCAGCCAACTACTTCGCATCCCCCTGCAGCTGAAACCAATGCCATGTTTTGTCTCAAGAGTAGGTGAACAAATATATTATCCCGATTGCATCACCCGTCTTGCAACATCAAATCCAAGAGTTCTCTTTTAACTTTCCAGATCCTGCGGAATATCCTCGGCGATGTAACCCATGTTATCCCATTTTTCTATATTTTTTCTGGGATTTTGCGCCAGTTTTCCAGGTAGGTTTCCACGACATGTTTTCGGTTGAGGGGCCTCAACTGCCCTCCAGAAAGTGTCCCAGATCTCTGGCGACGTCTTCTGCTCACTTTTGCCCTGCGATGCGATGGGGGTGCTTTCGCACTGGGCGTATGATGACATCGCACTGGGCATATCATCACCCACCTAAACCTACATAAAACCCACAAAAAATGCGAGCCTGTCAAACAGGGGGTCGGAAGATTCGTTTCCACTACACAATGGCTGTTTCCAGGGTCTATGTTGATTTACTGGAGGGTATATGATGTGATACAATACCTAAAAATATATTGTACATGACACAAAGGCTATACACCATATGCATCATATGCGTCGTTGCTTCTGATGTCATGGCATAGTTTTGAATGCAAACACAACCAGACCCTTGACAATTCCAATATGCAACCCGCCCAGGGGACAAAGCAATACGTTGGAAAATGATAGCCCATGAGTTTCAAGATCTGGAACATTGTATTGTGTATAGGTTTTCACCTGAGATTCCGCAACTTTTTTCGGGAGGTACCAGGTCCCATCTGGTACCATCACGGCAACCGAAGCAACCGAACCTTCCACTCACTCACATCAATGGTGCCCTCTCCACAGAGGCACAAGCCCAGCTCGGTGGCGGTGAAAACACCTTTCTGGAAGCGGCTTTAGATCATGAAGGAATCTACAGGAGTGCCCTCTGGTAAACTCACATAGCTGTGGAAAATCAACGAAACCAGTATTTTAATAGGTCAAATAGCGCAAAATAATCAATTTCTGTATTTTTCTATTATTTCTATTTCCATTTTCCATAATTACTGGTGAATATCCCCATTTTCGACCATTTTTGGTTATTATCCCGTATTATCCCATAATGTCCCATACGGTATTGTCCCCATGTCTGCTGGTGAATATCCCGATTTTTTTCTTCCCCAGTAGCTGGCTGCATCCTGCCGTCATGGTTCAACCCAGGCACGCTGCAGCTGCGTTTGCACATCCGCTGGCACCAGCGTGTGCAAGCCATTGAGCACAGCTTCCACCTGCTCATTCTGGACTTTTTGGACCGAGTTTTACGATGTTTTTATATGTTTTAATTATTTTATTCATCCCTTTAAAACCGATCCCTTAAATGGAAACGTAATAACGTTGGAACCAAAGCTTCTGGCATCTCTCACGTGTTCCTAGGAGAACCAACATCCACCTGGCCCCTGTGTGCTACAAAGGCGCTTGGTCACGCACAGAGTCCATGAGGCGATGGTGGCACAACAAGTCCTTGGTAATCGAAGCCGGCCATGGGAAATCCCTCAATTTTAAATCTGGGAAACATAAGGAACATATTTAATAACAATTATAATAAATTAATAACATATATCTATAGAAATTGGTGATTTCCATTCTCATGTTTGATTACCATGGAGCAAGCCCTCTGTCAATCAACCAACGCTGGGTGACATGGGAAGATCTCGGAGGGTGTGGAGGGATTTCTTGGAATGTTCCCAGTCATGAATCCAAGGATGCACCAGATCAAAACTAAGGATGGCTTTGACTACGCCCATGTATTGCCACTCCGTGACCAGATTGATTGTTCCATATGTTGCATATCAAATATCAAATCATATCCAGTAGTAGCTGGGACATGGATGTTCATCGCCCTATACTATATAATTTTCATGGTACCACGGGTGGCAGCACCCGTCCCATCCATCCCCGCATTTTGAAGCACCAAACTATGGAACCAGCCGGATTGGACGCTTGCGTTCCAGCTTCCAAGTACTGCATCTTGTTCTCTTCATTCACGTACCTGTCAGCACCACCCAAGCAGAGTTCCACCTTCTCGCCCTCCCCAGCGTCCTCAGATGAAACCACGGGCAACAAACAGCACAGCATACCACAGCCATTGAAAGGAGAATATAAGGAGAATTATATAAATGAACAAGTCACACAATTCCACGATATGCTAACTAGTGCCGGCAAAGTCAGTTGAGACAAACACCACCCCCTCTTTGAAACCGATACAAAATTCCAAGGAACATCCACGAAAGTGAGGTTCAAAGCAGACAATTCCTTTGATCCTTCTTCGCCCTCCTCCTTTGGCTGTTACCCTGGGTGGGTCTGAAGGCTGGCATTGGAAGGCAGAGTGCAAACCATATGTTGCCATCTTTTGCCTATATAGAACCGTAGTCTCTTGAAATGGTAAGGGCACGTCAACAATTTTGTGCCATGATCACAAGGCCTTTTATTTGGTGTTCAGTGTTCATTGGTCATCCAACCGGTTCACTGTGAGAATACCGGAAAATGCCCTATAGACATTGATTGTACAAGGATATACCAGCTAAACTCCACCTAGTGTGTGGAACTATCCCCATAAAATGCTAACAAATTTACATAGATCATAGGGGTTGGCAGTGTCTGTGTCCTCATAGCGACCCTCCAGAATGTAAGCCACCTGAGCATCGTCCGAGCCCCAGGCCCTTCTCAAATGTGCTGCTGCAATCGCTGATCCGCCGGCCCAGCCTTGCTGTCGTAAAATGCTGGGTCAACTGACGCCATGTCCTGGAGGTGACTCTGCGATGTACAGATTGTGGGGGCACATTATTCCATGGAAACGCAACGAGAATGGCACATATCAATACTGCTTGGTGGTTGACCTACCCCTCTGAAAACTATATAAAAATATGAAAGTCAGTTGGGATGATGACATTCCCAATATATGGAAAGTCATGAGTCATAAAATTCCATGGTTCCAAAGCACCAATCAGAATATCTCATAACACCCATCCCTGGGGTCCCTGCACGTCCCTGCCCTCCTCTAAAGGTCTCAAGGGCGCACCCAGCAGCATCCGCCGTAGCGGCTTACTGAGCTTCATGGAGGGCACTGGCTCACCGTGGAGCAGGGCCAGGCCAATGAGTTTGCCACCTGGGATATGGGAGATGAGATTTTTAGTTTTTTTTGATTATTATAAACTTATAAAATTATAGATGATTATCTAGATCATTTTAAAATAATTTGAGATTTTGTTAGGTGATTTTCAAATGATTTTGGGTGGATTTAGATTCGATAAGATTAAGTCCCACCTGGATTGAGAATCAATTTGAAACAGGATTCTACATTTTTTGACCAGTCGACCAGTAAACAATGAGGCAATTTTAACCAGCAGAGTTCAGGGGCGTCGGCTGATTCAAAAACACTGCAGCAAAATCAAAGACATTAAAGGACTAAAAAGGCACAAGTTGATAAACGTTGGCTTTCCCCTTCGGCAGTCTCATCCGGTGATGGTCAACGAGGATATGAAGGATGATTTGTGGTTGTTTTCCTCCTAAAGCAGCTTCAATGAGACCACCCTGCAAATTGCTGAGGGCTGCTAAAGCAAACATGATGGACTTGAAATTCAATATTGTAGTCTATTTATTTCACCCGTCCATAGCAATCCCGTATATTCTATTGCCGCCCAGCTGTTTTTGTTGATTCCATGTTGAATATTCAAGGATACTAAAGGAGTACCTGAAATGTGCCACCAAAGTAGCACAACTCAAGCTGTTCCACGTGATCCTTCTCTGTGGCATTTGGGCTTAAATGGAAGGAACGGCCGCCTGAGCTCGGCTGTGGTGACCGCTTCATCCATGGCAGTGACGAAATTGGTGAAAAACGTAGATGATAACTGCAGGACATATCATGAAACAATGCAAACCAACGTCAACTATATATAGGTATATAAAGTTCACACTCTTGAATATCTGAATAACGTTTGCAACTCCATGCAACAACTCTTCAAATCTCTAGTTCGTGTGGTCCCAAGAAGATCCGGCTGGCGGTGTCCACATCTAGGCTTAGTGGACCGGCGAAGAAACATCCTTTGAGAGTGAGACACAGAATTCTTTGATGCCCTAGGTCCTAGGTGATTGTCAAAGTTGCCCATTTATACATGATTTACCTACTGTATTAACAGTGGTGATTTTCCATAACTGTGTCAACTTACCAAACGGTAGTTTCTACAAACATCTGGAATTTGGCATTGCCAGGGCAATCTCTTGGCCCTCTCCGCAGAGGTCAATGGTAGAAAATCCACACATTTTCTAGCGTTTTCTCATACACTTGAAGCAACTGGCTCGTTGCACACCAAACACTGAGGATGTGAATCATTTGAGAATCAACATTTCAAGCAGGATATGCCTACATCGACTGTGGACATCAAATTCCACTTTATTGAGCATTGCAACTGCTCCGAAACAGCAATGAGACATCAGATGCTGCCAATCATCCCGTCCACGGATATCATCCTTCTTGGAGCCACTGAAATCAAATTCTTTGTCAAACAAATTCAACAATTAGTGACTTTAGTGTAAGACTCTGAATGGCTCCAGGACACCAACATATTTTTTCCCTAGGCTTTTCCTGGAAAAGTATTCCCTCGTGCCCATGCTGCATCCCAGCTGCCATCTTTGGATTTGAACAGCTCCAAATCGGCATACATGAACTCATTGGCCGCCAAGCCTGGCGAGTTCAAAAGGATGCCATCATTCAAGGTCTGTTGGATCCGTTGAATCCGTTGAATGATTCATGTGTTTTTCCCTTGAGCTTTCAACTTTAATTATATACCTAGTATATTGAATATGATATAATATGATAACAATTGATAACATATGATAGTCATAAATATTCATATGTTTTTTCCACTTCAGACTTTAAATCTTTAAGCTGAACACGTCTTTGCTGATTTGTTGAACCTGATCCAAATTGTTGGGGCCGTGTGTGGCTGGCTTTCTCCAGTAGCCGAGAAGGCTTCATGGATGCAGCCACGCAACGGAAGAACTCCTTCCGATCTTTCGTTGACACATCTTCCTCCTCCATATCTTCGTCATCCTCGTCATCAGTAAAGCTCCTCAGAAGCCAATGGCTCAGCACTCAAGAAACACAACAGCTTCTGAACGCAGACATGTGACACGTGTAATTTCGTGTGACCATCCAAACTCACACTGTGCCCACGTGTATTGGGCCAGTTTGACCAAAGTTTCGATCTCCACCGTCTGCCATCAGCTGTATCATGCCGTATGCAGATGTATATCAAATGTATCAACATGCAGTTGCAAAAGGTACCCATGCAACTGCAAGACTATGGCTGCCGTAGCTGGTCAGATCTCAAGACGAGGTACACATCGATACCCCAGCGCAAGTTGTCAGGACAATCTTTCAACTTGTTGCACAAGCTGCCCTTAGCCACGTAGAGCATGCACCCCCGAAATCGGATGTTCAATGGGCAAACTTTCAATGGGGCGGTTACAATTCCGTAAAAAAATGTGAACCCCAATCTCTAGATCCAACAGGAAATGCCTCTTCCAATCCAGTTGTTTGGTTTCCATGGTAGAATGCAGGTGCACAGCACGGTGCACATCATTGCCAACAAGTTTAAAACTAGTTAGCAACAATAGATGTCCGTTGTTAACCCTAAACGGCCCATCAATGACAATCTTGGGTAGATGGTCATCCAAAAATGGCCCTAAACAGGTGAACACCCTAGAGACAAGATTTCGCGAGATAGGACCGGCACGAATGGGGGCCCTTTTCTTTGGGCATCCATGGAGTTGCGCTGGTACTTTCTGTAAGCCTAAAAATATTCTGATGCCATCCATGCCATCCAATCATATCCAATCTATAGCAGTGAATTCCCTGCAGCATCGACCCAAGTCTCTAGCAAGTCGTCCTTCTGCACTTGAAGATGCACGGGGGTGGGTTGTTGGGCTTGACTATGAAGCTGATCCGCCAACCATCGACGCTTGAAGTGCAAGGGCACCTGAGAGGTGACTTCCCCAGCGAAAGGTCAGGTGTGCAGGTCAACAAACACATGAACAGATTGTAGAGTCTGTAGATCCCATAGAACCACATCACTACATACTTAGTAAATTGCATTAAATTCTTCTTTTCAGCATTCTTCATCACCTGAACTGTAGATGATTTGGTGGTCATGATGCTGCCAAAGAGCCAGCTGCACATACTGCGGCCACCATTGCAGCGACGACAACAGACCTGCCATCGCCGTGGTGTGTCCCTAAGGCAGCCTCCAAAATTGATCCATCAAACCAAACAACAACTTTTCTATCTGGGTATAATATGGTATAATATGGTACAATATGGTATAAATATGGTATAATGACTTTTCTATCTGGGTATAATATGGTACAATATGGTATAATATGGTATAATACGGTAAAATATGGTATAGTGACTTTTCTATCTGGGTAAAAAAATAAATAAATCATGACAAGCAAGGCAGAAGTGACAAAGTATTGGAAACCGCCAGCCGGGTTTGTTCCAGTCCGCTAACTCCTCAGAAAAGGGTTTCTCAAGGTCAATAACTTCTGTACAGGTCATCAGGAACTGCCATTTGTTCATGGTAACCCTCCCGCAAGTAACACGGCAATGGAATTTACAGCACCATCTACCTTTTTTGGTCGAAACATGATATCTGGATGTACAAGTACATGGGTTATGGCCATCCCATAAAATTGGGAATCCTTATTGATTGGTCACTATATGTATATAGCACTATGCAAGCATATATGTATATATATATATGCTGTTGAAGGGCGGCACCCTTGGACCGGGTATATATATATTGATATGTGTAAATTATAACATGCTTCGGAAATCCCACAACCGCTCCATGGATTCTGGCTGAATGTCAATAATTCACCAACCTGAAAATAGCTGAAAACTTGCAGCCAGCTATGGGGATGATTCCCCTATACATTCACCATCATTCCAGTGACGTCACGATGTGATGTCACCACATAATTCATCTAAATGGATCTCTCCCACCTTCATTACTAATGTCGGAAATACTAAACCATCCCAAATTTAATCATCCATATATTTCTTGAGATGGTTTAGTATTTCTTTACTGACATGGTAATTAGTGTTCCTTGATCATCACTAAACCATAACCCCCATCAATCCATATATTGGGGGCGTTTGGTTCTACCCACCCAGCTTAAAAAAAAAAAAAAAACGGTGTCAGGAAGACGCCGCATGAGGTCGGTGGCTTGATCCAGTCCTCGTAGCAAATTCTGAAGATGGGGGTAATATAGTATATATCTATATTTCTAGAATGATAATAATATATCTATCTTATATAGTTATATATATATTCTATATTATATTGTATATATAATAATACATAACCATTGGTTTGAGGATGTTTGAGGATGGGCCCCACTTTTGGACACAACCATGGGAACAAGTTTGCTCAAACCAAGGACTGAGCAAACACTTTGGCGGATTGAATTCACTTAGTTCAAAGAAATGCAACCCTAGCTTGGCCAAAATGCTGCCAGGGGGTCACCGTTCCCATTCGCAAGGTCATTCCAAATGGGCTTCGTATCGCAAAGAAACAACGCACATAATAGTGGAATTGAGCATCCATCTGCAGCCCACCTCTACGGTCAGGTTTTCCATGTGCGTCCCAATCGTTTTGGCCAAACATCGGGCAATGTAGGAGGTATTCTTCAATAATATCATCATATAACATCTATGTATATAATTCTACGTATAATTTGAGTCTACAATCAACTATAACTATAACCACAGAAAAGTGCATATACAGTATCTCCAACAATGGTACTGAATATGTAATATGTATATGTATATATATATACATTATATGCTATTGTAATTCTATTATCGTACAGTTTAGAATGACAAACATAGAATCATGTGTACATATATATATATATGTATTTATATATATATGTATAATCTATAATCATCTATATCTGTGGTATTGTTATGGTCCTTAGTAAGGTCAGCTTAACTCAGCCGAAGTTCCACACAGCCGCGGCAACAAACGCGTCATGGCCTCGCTTGCACCTGAGAGAACCTCGGTAATTTTACGGATACGGATTGAACCAAAACAAGGGGAATGGTGAATATATAATTCTGACATATTCGTTTGAAATTTTCTATATAATATAACATTGCTAAAACATCACTTGAGCACTTAAACATTGAGAACATAACATAGGCCCAGGGAAAATTCATGACGTCGAGCTACAATGCAAGGTTTAAGAAACAAGCAATGCTGAACTTGTGTTTGCATGTTGCATTCTTGGTGCTAAATCACCACAAACAACTCCATGCAAGAAGGCTTTGCCACCGGTGGGCCTTTTGATCCCTTCGTGTAGTTGTGGAAACATATACACACACACAAAAAAAAACATATGGATTTCACCAAATGCCCAGGAATGCCTTTGGGATTCTTTGGATACATATCATTACATATCTACACTCTCAGCTGAGCAACGCCAGGCTCAATGTAGTGCAAGATCTGGGTCAGCAATTCCAAACTCAACTCCTCGTGTCTCATGAATGCATCCACAGCTACTTACTAGCCAATTCTAAACGACAGCGTCATGCCATGGGAATCTGTTCGATACCTTTGAAAAGGCGGACTGCTCAACGATCGATTTCCACAGCAGGGAATGGGGCACACAAACACCATGCCATAACCCAGCCCCAATACTACCAGAATGGTGCTTAGCTACAAATCATCCCCAAATGATAGCTTCGTGGGATTGGGTTCACCATGGTTCACCATGGTTCACCACGCTACTGTACTGTTAGGTAATCTCCCGGCAAACCGCTGCGTCCTGGACATGCTGAGAGGGTGAATCCAACAGGTGGCCTTGGCCGCCAGGATCCGCCATGTTACGAACGATTGGGCAGCAAAATCATTAAATCTCACTGAACCATTGGAACTTCCAATATGGGCCATAACCCATCCGATTGATCCTGACCATTCCTGTGGGACATCCTCTGGGCATCCTGGCTGATGGCATCAATGATCTGCATCGGATTGCTTCCCGACACAACCTCATTGGCGCTGGAGGATCACGCATGACTCCTGTGACTCCTATGCGTGAACCGGTGCTTCAGGCACACGACTCCCTAGATACATCGAAATACTAAATACTATTATATAACTTCAACCTGCAAGCAGTCGATTTCTCCAGCGAAACCTAGTGGATGACTGGTGCTTTGGCAAGCAACTGCCCGCTTGGTGGTGTCGTTCTGTAGGAAGAAGGTCAGCACTTGCAGCAAATCATCCTCCTCCTGGTGATATAACGAAAAAGAACCAAACATAAACTCTAAAAGCTAAATACAGTGTGTTAATTCTGCGCGATTATTATGTACGATATGTATCATCTTTGCAGATTCTGTACTGAAACAAGGAGCTATGCTGAGCTTGACGGGTAAGAGATTCCTAAACTCAGGTTCGTCTTGTGCTAGGTACTGAGGTACTGCCCAAGGAGCGAAACAGGGAAATCAACAACTTGTGAACTTGTGACCTCATAACGCATTCAAATTCCGCGACCCGATGGGAAAACACAATTCCGTGTATGTTCACAGGTATGTGCCATTTACTCATTCCAAGCTAGCAACGGAAGATCCGGCGTTTTCCATGATTAGCTCATAAAAATCATCAAACATCCGTGGTTAAATCATCGTTAAGATGCGTTAAGTCATGCCTTTCAGATCTCCTTTTCCATGATGAAACCATGATCAAATCCATGGATAAACCGTAAAACCCCATGGATAACATCGTCATCGCCACCTCTGTGGCCAGTTGCAAGTTGGAGATGGCCAGGGACACCAAGGGCTCCTGGGGGCAGCCAAGCCGCTGGAGCGCGCGACTGGTGGCTTCAGGAATATGTTGATGACAGATTGGTCTATGATTGGTTAATCATAGATTGGTTTATCATAGATTGGTCTATCTCGATATTTTCATGACATAGAGTGGATGAAATTCATTGAAATTCATGTTTTATCGTGGTTGATCGATATCATTGGTTTATTTTTGTCCATGAGACATGGATATTTCATGGGAAATACTATGGTGGTGTAATGGGCCAATATAACCAACAATATGATATTTGAGCTTGGAAAATGGGACATACTCCAAGCATGGTCAGTTAATAGGAAACATGATGATAAATCAATAGGACTTTGGGGTACCAACAGACCCATATGATGTCCTTTCAGCCTAGGAAATTGTATGACAGAAAATACATGTTCAGCCTCTACTGAGACTTTACTGTTTTACTGATTTTGGGGCGATTTGTTTGGTAAAATTGTTTTTGATGAGGTAGAGTGACTTTGCATGAATCATCATAAGCTATTGGAATGAGCAATGCGGTAAATCCTATGATGATCTCAAATGATAGCTGCTCGATTGTCTCTTAACTTTGTCCCACATTCAAAAACGCAAGGCAGTTCAACTTGGTTCTGGTATGGCATGGCTTATGGTTCAGAATCTAACCTCTGGTATCCAAGAAATGGCAATTGAAACATCCCAACCGTTGGATCGGATGGATGGCGATATTGATGAAGCAAAGCCAGTGCAGTAGACCGTCCCATTCACCGACCATTTGGGACACAATTCATCCCAGTTCTAGCATAGAGTTTCTCTCTCTCCCTCGCTCTCTCCATCGCCTTCCCGGAGGTTCACTATGCTAGGGTTTACCATGCCATATTACATAATTATCACACATTGTGTTATTTTTTAAAAAATATTCCATCCCCCATATTAATTCCCATTAATGGTTGGACAAAATCATCCCCAACTGGCCGGCTTATGTCATGGCATGTGCGCAGCCCTATGAACTGAATCATTTATCATCATCTATTCTCATCATTAAGGCTGACAATGGGGGGTGGCTTGTTATTCTTAATGGATATCCTGCAGTGTTGGATATTCAATATTCATCCCGATTCTATGTCTACTCCAGGATTATAATACCTTCTGATTTTTTAACGTAGCTATGGAAAATAACCACTGTTGATATGACACATCATCATCATCATCATTATCATCATCATCATCGTCATCGTCATCATCATAACATATATATATACACATATATTCATCATATTTCAACATAAAAATGATACTGGAGCCATTTTCCATGGCCATGTCACCGGTTTGCCCAGGATCCCATTCGGATTTCCCATGGCAAGGCGCGAAACGGGGATGACTCGCCAAGCGCTTCAGCACGTCGGATCTGCCCAGCAGCTGACGGGTGGTGAACATGGCCGCGCCTGCCAAAAGCGGAGAGGATTTTTCGAAACATGGGGGAAACATATGGGAAAATGGAACATGATGGGAAATATTGGGAAAATGTGGGAAACATCATGAAACATCAGGGAACATCTGGGAAATATGTCGGACAAAGTTTTGTGTACCGGTATAACCCTCAAAACATAATGTTTAAGAGGGAAAATATGGGAACATGCTGTACCCAACGGTGTTCACCAAATGAATGTTGACCCCCGCGCTGCTGGTCATTAAGAGGGTTCCATTTTGGAAGCAGGGATATATTGGGATAGTGTAACCCCCCGATCTTCAGTCAGCCAGTGTTTCTTTGGGGATTTAGCCACGCACTTGGGATTTGAAGTACAATTGTTTCCGCAAAAACTGGATCACCGGGGATTGATGGGATTTGATGGGATTTGAACGAATGATCTGGGGAAATCATATAGAGACCGTTCCGTGTGGCCAATTGGATCTATCCATACTGTTCAAATGTTTACATTTGGGGTAAGTTTGGAACATTGATTGTCATCAACGAGCCCAGCCCCTCCAAGTCTCAAACATTCAGCTAAACTTGGCCACAGGATCCTATAGTTGAAGTTGCCAGATCTATATACCCTGCAATCGGGGAAAGTGGTTGCTACCCTGTTTTGCAGGCAAAGCAGGTAAAGTAAGGATTGACAGAACTCGGGAAGACGCCCCCCAGCCGACCCTGCCAAGATGCAAATCCGATCCTTCCCCTGCTTGCTCCCCACTACCAAGTTTGTGATGAGATGATCAAACAGCTTCCCCTGCGACGGCCAAAGAAAACTGAGGTCAACAAATGAGTACAAATGGAAGAATTGATTGATTGGATTCAATGGAAGAACCGATACTGAGAACATGCCGTGTTGGCTTGCTCGACACAGTTGATGCATTTTATAAACACAGAATTCATTACCATACCCAATCACACGGTCATGCGCTGGCACGTGACGACGTTTGCCAAACTCATGTGGTAAGATGCTAGTAACGGCGCATGTTCCCAGAAATATCATATGTGGCTCAAAGAATGCCCTACAGGAAAATGTTAGACTAAACAGCTAGTGGTGGTATAACATGGTATAACCCGGTTGACAATTACATTCGATGGTCCTAACGTTTCAAAGGCCCAAAACCCTCCCATTCTTGCGGACAGTTTTACCAGCACCCGTGAAAAAGGTTTGGCTGACATACTCATATTCCATACAAATTCATTCATGAGAGCCTCTCCGCACTTATGGTGCAAAATTCTTGGATCCACTCAACAAGGTACAGTACATAGGTGACTCTATACTTCGGTGATGCTGGCCGTGACGACTGACAAATTTGCAACACCCCACGGGCATGTGTCAAAAAAGCAGAACACATCAAAGCACAAAGGTTGCAAGCATTCTCATAGTATGTGATTCTTATGTGTTGGAATTAGAAAACCTTTATACACCTTTCAGAATGAGAAACAACTGACCCTGACTTCTGAGCCTCATAACTTGTGCCGGCCTGCATCAGGACTTGGAAGAAGGTTCCCTCCCGGAGCTGCAAGGTGTTTCCCAAAGCTCGCCTGGGAGCTAGCCAGTTTGAAATCAAGTGCATTTCGTTCACAACACCCCAAGATACCCCAGCAGTGGGGTTGCCTCAAAAACCAGTGAAACAGCATCATATATAATTATATTATATATATATATATTTGTGTATGTGTATATATATATATATTATATATATACACATATATATATATTATGAATTTCTATGCTGTTGGTCCCGTTTGCCACAGGTTCTTTGCAAACGATTAGTTAGTTGTTATTATGTATTCATGAATTCGTCTTGCACGGCCTTTCCGCCTTTCGCCAACCCTTCCGCCGGCTTCCGCTGACGTTGGTTTCACGTCCGTTGACGCAACTTACTGTCACCCCCATACATACGACTTTACCTCATGGAAGTTTTTGTCATGCTGCTCAGGTGGAAACTTGGATGAAAATCGGATGAAGCCACCCCTTTCCCAGCCAACAAACAAACAAGGGACGCGCACAGAGCACCATCGGGCTGCAGGAGCTCCCTGGTAAGAAGCTTCAACCAGTCGCTGGCAAACTCCCGCCTTGCAGAGAAAACAACCCACACAAAACTCCATAAGAGGATCCCCGAAGTGTTGGGAGTGGGAGTTTCATGATTGATTTGAGATGATTTGAGTGCATATATGCATAATAAATATATTGTGATAATTATAATAAGCTAATTATATATATGTATATATATGATTTATATATATGATTTATATATATATGTGTGTGTGTATGTGTGTTGTATGAAAAATATATATATATATACACACAGTATATTTCATCATGTTGGCGAAACTGATTTGCGACGATACTTCTGATGATTTGGGACTACCTTCAAGTTTCACAGCCTTTTTTCCCCCAATCCCTTCCTTATCTCGTCCCACCATGGCCTGGATTCGGCTTGGGCGTTCCACATCCTTTCATCAACTGGTGAACTCAGGAAACGATCCTCAGCGCGCGGGCAAATGCCAAGGCCCAACCCATCGCTGCCGAGATCGCCGAGGGGCCAAGGTGCGGATCAGGGCGGCGGTGCCAAATTGGTCCGGCCAGTTTTCCTTGACGCGGAAGGCCGTGGAAGCACGTGCCGTGGCTTTGCGAAGGTTAAACAAAAACAACAGTTTAACATGGCTATCATGGCTGGCAACTGGAAGATATGAAAATATATGCCATTTACAGTATTACATGCCATGTATAGTATTAGTATGATACAATAAGCTGGCAAAGGAGAACTGTGGGGATACCCGTCTACAAATGGATGTGTTGATGGTGGATTTTTCCCAGGAGGCCACGGTTGGAATTTGCATCAGCTTCAAACGGCTCTCCGTCAAGACCCTCGTACCCCTGGTGACATCCAAGCAGCTGGCACATGGATGTTTATTCCATATTCCACTAAATATGGTATATAATAGTATCTCATATATAGTATAGTATGTTTTGATCCATGCCTTCTTATCATATACCATCCCTAAAACAAGCGAGGACCAAACACATATCCTTTGATCCGTTCAATTGGCTAGTAAATAGGTCCGGGGTATTGCACTTGCCGAGCGTGACCGAAGCGCAGAGCTGGCATCACAAGTATTGCGGTGGTTGCTCTTGCAAACATCCAATCTTGTTTCCATGAAAATCCAACAATTAGAAATGATTTGCAGTACCGGTTGAAATTGGGGAGTTTCCTCATCAACAGCCATTTCTGATTCCTCTTGCGGGGAGTTTCCTCAGTACCAGCTTGCCAGCTTCCTCACCAAGACACGAAGAAGTGGTACAAAAAGCTCACGCCTTCTGCTTGGATAATGGCTTCACAGAAATCCATCCGATCCTGCGGAGATTAAGGAATTTTGAAATCCCTTCAGCTATGGTTGGAAGCTAAGTTGCATATGGGTTTATCTGAAAATAGGTTGCCCTTATAGTAAATCCACTGGTTAATCTTAGATAAACATCTTAAAACATAAGGATTGATGAGGCATCTTCCTTGCCAAATGAATGTTGAAATCCTCTGAGCAGGTGGAGGATTGAAGTCTGAGCTCTTGGCGTCATGTTGAAAGGCGTTTGAATATACATTCTCTTCATTTTTAAACGTATTAAGCGCCTTTCTTTCTTCAGCACTTTTCAATTCGTTTGTCCCCGATTCTGAATTTTCTCTTGTTTTTGTGGCATTTTCAGATTAATGAGTGGTTAAAAACAATATGTCCTTACCGCCCCATTCTTGGATCGTTTAAACCACTCATTGTGAATTTGGGGACGGTTTATTATGGTTTTGAGTGGTATAAACCATCCATAAATAGGTTTTTTTACCAGCCATTTACCAAAAAAAACACTTATGGTATTTCGTCCATCCCATAAATGACCACTATATAGCACAAAACCATGTCATTTGTCCATCACGAAACCAAGTCGTTTCACGGATCACAACGGGATGACCTTCTCATTCTCCATGGCGGCGGCAACCAAGTTGCAGGCTTCTGGGCGACACAGCAGCAGGCTTTACTGATACTGCCATGATGCATGTGTAATTGTGTATATAATATCTAAACAAACAAATACACATATATATATATAATGAATGTGTATCTATAATAGATCTAAAAACGATCTGTAAAGAGACATTGTATTAACTATGATCTGTGTTTCACTGATGTATCTATGTTGAATGGTCTATATATATACATATACATGTGTGTGTGAGATAGATCTATTTATAAAGATATGTGTCTATTTTGAAAACAATCTATCTATAGATATATGTGCATGTGTGTCTGGTGTAAAGAATGTAGAGTATCATTTAATTTTTCATTACATGTAAAGTATGACATACAATGCGTGCGTCATTGGGAAAAAATGTGTATAATGTTATAACATGAAATATGATGATATATACAGTGCCATGGACGCGGAACCATGAAATATAACATACCATTAAATATACATGTATATGACGGTGATGGTGATGATGATGATGTTGTTGATGATGATGATGGTGATGATGGTGATGATGATGATGTTGTTGATGATGATGATGATGGTGATGATGGTGATGATGATGATGATGATGATGATGGTGATGATGACATGCTGTTCATACCAGTCCAGCACGATTGCCCCTGCAAGAACCTGGCTTTGCTGCATGACAAACACATGGCAAGGTATGGCTCGAACGTTCCAAAATGGGGCCACTAGTGCAGCCTAGTGCAGCCCAGCTGCGGAGTACATCTCGTTCCTCAACATTCCCACATTTACCAATGGCCTGGCATGTTTTTCATGCAGAATGATGCAAATGGAGAATTGCAATGAACGCTGGGAAACACCTATGGTATCCTATGGTCACGTTCATCCAGTGTAGGATAATCACAACATATCACAACCATAGATGCTCGTGCGTAAGGCCAAGCATACTTGGTTGCGGCGTGAAGCCAGGAATCCTCGCCCAGAAAATGTCAAACCACAACGGCCACACCGGGCACAATTCCAAAAAACACAAGCAGCACAGCACGCCTGGTCCCAGTCTCTGAATCCAAACTATCCCAACTTTATCTTGGTTTCATTCGTCGCACATCTCCTCCTCTATGAGTCTTGGACATTTGAAAAATCACTGGGCCAATGATGACACATGACTATCAGCAGAAACATCTCATCCCACTACAGATCCTTCCCCTGGCACAGGGCAGGATCCCAAGGCCTTCACCAAATGATGCGCCACCACAGGCATATCTTCCTCGGACACACCATCCGAAGAGTGATCAACACATATCGACACCATGGTTAAGAGGGTGGGGATTTCTGTAATCCCTGGTCAATCCCTTCTACCCAGTAGATAAAATACACACATCTCCAATCTTTTTTGGATCCAATACTGAACCAGGGTTTTGAATCAGACTAGCATTTTGAATCGTCAGTAGCTCCCACCTGGCCATTAGTTAAGCGCGGATTGATCATTGGGTATGGTTTGAAATAACTTCCCAAATAGCAATCTTGTTGAACCATCCCAGTAACTCACGATGTGGGTTATCGATGTTACGTATGTGATGTGATGTAATGGAATCGAATTGAATGGAGTGCATGCGCATGTTTCAAAACATATTTTTATGTTACACCAACAAAAAAGAACATTCCCTTTGTATCCATTTGGAGGATGTAGGGTTGTAGTCAAATTCGTAAACCCATCATTCAAACCCAATCTTTGGGTTACTGTGATATGGATATACCATCATTTACCTATTTCTAAGCCAGGTTTGAAATGAATACTGTACACTTATCAACTTGACAATCATTAACAAACATACCACATTATTCGCAAGAACCCCACTTGGCAATTCCTGTATTGTTGTTAACATTGCTATTACTATTGTCATCATCTTTCCATCAAAAACACCAACAACTACCCGCCCCAAATCCCAACAACTATCACTGCTCATCACAGCAGATCCAAGTGGCATGGCTCAGCAAAGTTCGACAGCTTTCCTCTTGCTGCACCATCAGAACGAAGCCATGGAAAATGCTGCTGCGTGTGCCCTGCGGGCTGGGCTGGTCGAGGCGATCTGACAAAATCGCTGGATGTGCCATTAATCCACTTAAACTGGTTCCATTTCAAACAGTTAAACATAGGGAAAAACATATGAATTCAAATCCAAATGATAGTTGACATTCATGAATCTCAAACTTGGTTGAGGTCAAGTTTCACTTAATTTGGGTCTAGAATCCCAGAAATGAATGATCTATCTCTTGAATACATCCCATACCTGTTGGACCATGCTTGATGGCTTCCTGCCATGGCCGCTGGTGGTTGACGAAGCCCACAAATTTCGGCAAAACTCGTCATCTTCAAAAGTATTGTTACATATACTATATAATTATATATATATATATATATGTAGATGTATATATCCTGGATGGGCTTAGGCCCTAGGCGTCAATAGTCATTGGCCATCTGTCCTGTAATATCTCAATACCTTGAAACCGTGATACCCCTCCTGGGGCACCAAGAGGTTCACCAACAAGCTGATGGCTTCATGATGTGCTGTCAGCATCTCCGCCCCAACCGTCCTCCAACCTGGGGATCCCCAACTTGGACCATTGGAGGATGGGAAAATGGACGGTAAAAAGTATGGATTCTTGTAACATGATGTAATTTACATCTTCCTTCAACCCAGTGCATGTTCCGTTTGTTTTTCATGTTGTTTGATATTTAGCAATGATTTTCATTGCTTACCGGTTGGTTGAAGGACACATTTTTGAAGGCCATCTCATGCCAAGTCGGCTTGAATAAATACTTCTGAAACTGCAAATGCTCTGGATTCTGGTTTTATAGATGTCTGTTGAGAGTAGCTGCGTGTTGCAAACTTCGTGACAGAAATCTGACGGCACATGTGTTTGAATATGTTTGAATCAATGGGAAAGGGAAACCACTCTTTTTAAAGTCAAAACGCACGGCTTTCCGAAAAAAAAAGTTCCCGAAAAAACCAATGGATTGAACCAACCCACCCAAACAATAGCAACCTGCCAAATAGTTATAGATGGTTCATAATCCCTGATAAACGTGGTTGTTGGATGTTGTTGGTGGTTAATAGGTCCCGTAAAGCAATAGTATAGCAATAGTAAATCATCCCCAATTGTACCATAAATATCCATAAATGGGTGAGATAGACTCGTACAACCATCAAAATATGGATGGTTTGCAGCGGCTTTACTGACATTAAATCTTGGTAATGGATGGATCATAATAACAAATAAACGTGGTTGTTGGATGTTGATGTCAAAAAATGGCCCAGACATTGAATAAATCCTTACCATATGGTTATTTAACCTAGCCATGGAAAATGGCCCATTTATAGATGGTTTACCTGGATTTACCTATTAAAAATGGTGATTTTCCATGGCGATGTTAAATAACCAGATGGTACCATTTTCAACCAAGGATCATAGCTCTGTGAGCTGCTTGACCTTGCCATGATTCGCCAGTGTCTCCGCCAAGTTGGGATCGTCCGTGAAGTGCACCAGGTGATCTGAGGCATGGCATCAGCAAGGTCTGGGCTTAGGGAAACATACACATATATAGCACTTTATGTGTGTATAAATAAAAAGGTATATTCATATTATATATATATAAAAGTATGTATATATGTATATATCATCTATCTCTCTCTCTCTCCCCATCGCCATCTCAGAGAGTTCAACAAAAGCTGAAGGCGAGCAAGTGGCCCAGCTCAATCAGCCACTAGCTGGTCAGCCATTAGCGTAAGTCGTCTTACTTTAAGTATACACATGTATATGCACATGTGTCCACATTCACCTGCTTATATGCACATATCCATGCCTCAAATAAACTCTTGTCTACTGAAAGTTCATGCTTAATTGTATGTCACAGTATATAGTGAGAAAACAGCCTCCTCATCAAAATGTAGGTCTGAAGTCTCAAGCTAGTCATCTGCTAAAAGTCTTCAGTTTGTTATGGAACCCCAACTTTGTTCTCAGAAAAGTCCCAACTACGAAATCTACTAGGAACCCCCCACTTTAGCCCATAAAACACATCCCCAAATACCCAGATTTTCCACTGGCCACGGGCTCCCTGCTCCCAGCTGGGTTTCCGCTCTAAGTCGCAAGGCGTTGTCCTTCTCTGCCAGTTCCTCGCCGTGACACGTCAGCAAGCGCTCCACCAACGGTTCGATCCTTGGGTGGCTTAAGGTGGGTTTGATATGGAAAAATATGGGATAATGGAATCATTGCACAAATGTATGTATATATATATATGGATACACATGTATGTATATATATATATACACCATATAACATTATAAAACTACCAATGGTTTCTTAAATCATATGATTAATGATCACTGGAATGGGTTAAGGATGTTTAGGAAAAAACAGAAGGACATCATATGGTTTTGACCCAAAATACTCAGCCTTTTAGGCATCCCCACGGGCCAGTCCGAGGAACAACTCGTAGTTGCGCTGACGCTTGCGATTGGGCATCGTCCTCAAGGGTCGCAGCGGACGTGGCAAGTGAGTGCCAAAGTGCCAAAGTTTGGCAGTGAATTTCATTGAATTTCTGGGGTCTCCGGTAGATGTATTGATGAATATAGAGAAATGAAATGGATGATGGGTGGACATGACATGCGCGGTATCAATGCAGCTGTGCCGACATCTCATAAGCATCTTCTGGAAGCGGAGCAGCAAAAATCATGATAGTACAAGATAGTACAAGTGGGCTCCTAGCGGAAACATAGATTGCACAGAAATATTAGAATATCATAGTAGGGCGAGGATCAAGATCCCAAGTATGTATAAGTATGTTGTGTTTGATATGCAACACCTTTTAATGTGGCAAGGGAAACCTCAAAAGGTAAGGCACCCTAAATACACGAAATTTGACAGAGCAGGAAGCCCCAGTTCAGGTCACCATGCGGGAGTGCACACCGTGCACACCGTCCGCACCCCTTGCCAACCATTGCACTGCGAAATAAGCCGAAGTTCGCTACCATATCATATTTCATGATATTTCATGATATTTCACATACTAGTAGTTTTAAACAAATAGAAAAACAATCCGACTTCCAATACTAGAAATTTGAAGCCAGAGCCACCTGACCTGACACCACATCAACCCTGGCATCCGCCAAGTTGCATGGCCAACACTGACTGGTTTCGAGCCTCCCTTGAGCCGCAAAAAAGCTGCCCAGCAACAGCGTGATCAATTTTACCATGTCCACCCATGCATCCATTGGCATTATAGTCGCGTTACAGTTCAAGTAATTATATCTAATTACCCATGTAGTCCAAAAAGGCATGTCATATAATATATATCCAAAAGGTGTATATATATATATATAGATATTTTACACTATCCTCACTAATTATCTATATACGCACACATGCATGAATCACTGTATCCCAATCTATATCCCAATTTTTATATTCCCATCGCCTGGTTCCCAGTGAAATGGAAGTTTCCTGAAACACACGGGTCCCCCCAAATCATCCAAGAATAAGCCGTTTTACTGCTGGAACCCATGGTTTCTCAGGGCTGTCGGTGTTTGAACCCCCCATGAAATCCAGGACTTCCCAACCTTTCTCCAGGCGTGGCCGGTTTCTCCGCCGCCGCCGCTGCTCCCAGACCTTGGCCGCCGCCGCAGGGCCATCGATGGCCAACAGCAGCGTGGCGCTTGGGGAGACCCTGGCACCGCAGGCGCCGACGTGGGAAAATGATAGCATAGTAATGGACGGTTGAAAGGGGCAATACATGCAAGGGATGTGGTACTTGTTGTCGACACATAAATATACTTATCCTGGATTTGCTCTAGGAACCACAGAAAAAACAACATATTCCGCTTTGATCGACTTGAATCGATTCCCCAAGTAATATTGGATTTTCCATTGGGGAAATAAACAGGCTCACCTTCAGCAAATCCAGGTTGTTGGTAAAGCAATATGATGTTTACAACCCACATGTTGGTGGTTTATACCATCCATTTATGGGAAAATTGTGAATGGTTTACTATTGCTTCACTCACATTAATGATCTGGGCAAATTACAATGATTCAAACACCTGAATTAAGGCCATTTGCGAATGATTCCCCTTCTTAACCATGAGTCCAGTAAGGTCGCAGTAAGGTCGTCATAATTTACCCAGAAGTTGTAGCCATTGGGAATTTACCGTTCCCTCCGCCGAATCTCTGTGACCGTCTCCGCGACACCTGTCCAGCAGGTGATCCAGCCGCGCAGAGACTGCCGTAAGGAAGGCAGCCTGTGGATCAGCATGGCAACGTTTAAAGAACATGGTAAGACCTGGCAGAATCTGATGAAAACATGTAAGCTATGTATAAATGTGGAAAAAATATAAGTCTAATACCAGGCTCTACCATAAAATCTGTGCTCCGCAGCTCAAAAGTTATTTTAAACCCTAGTAATGTCAGGTCTCGGCCCCAATCCTACCAGATGGTGGAAACGTGTCAGCTGAAGTTTGGGAGCTCGTTAACTTGTGCCATGGAAATCACTGTGTTTCGTTTCCCTCCTCTCGCTGGATGGCGCTTAATGTGGTCCTCGGTGCTGCCTACGTTTCTGATGATGCCTTTGCTTCTTTGGATGCTAAGATTGTAGAGTTTCCTGTCTTGATCAAAGACCTGCCATCGAAGGTTGGGTCTTTCCATTGCTTTCTCGTTCCGGCAGTGTGTTTGACGAGGTTCTGCCCCGACCCATACTGGTGGACAGTTTCAGCTGCATGGAAGATCATGGAAGCACTTGTCTTCCCATCTACTTGTGGGGCTCCTTGCTGTGGCAGGAGCAGGTTGGGGACATCTCCTCGGAGCGCAGTCATCATGGGAAAGCATTGGCACTTCACGGGGTTGATGACTCTGTGCAACATGGGTGTTTGGGGCGTTGCGGACATGTCGCCAGTCCTGTTCAACCCAACTTTGGCGCGGATCGGTCGGCCATAGGATATGAAGGACGTGTGAGGTTGCAGCATGTGCTTGACCAATCTGAGTCTGCACGTCTCAGACGGAATGCTTGTCATGACTTCATGACCTTTTCAGCAACATGCGAAACCTGAGCCATCACGCGCACTTCGGTGTTGTGGTGTTTTCCCCCCTTTTCATTTTCCAGGTAGAAGCATGCCCGTTCCCTGCCCATGCACAGCATCGCTCAGCTGGCAGGAAATATCTAGTCAAGGACCCACTTTGGAGCACAATGCTCACTAGACTGTGTGCCACTCAATCAGTTAATGTTTGTGAGCAGCTTGTGAAGTATCCATGGCAGGTGGCTGGGGGCGAACTCCCACAGCCCATCGTGATATGTGTACAAAGCAGACTGTTTGGCTGCAGCTCAGCCCGCTTGGGCAAACCTGTCCACCAGCTCAGACCTGGAACCCTTCGGCACCATCGGCACTGCTGCAGCCGTGCTCATGCTGCCACACAAGCGCCCGTGTTAACCCTAGTAATGTGGGTAAAACAATAATAAACAACCCATTTGGGAATGGTTTTATACAACCTATTTATGGTAATTTGGGGGATTGTTTACTTTTTTTAACCCACATTCATGTTAGTTATAGGCCAGCTTGGCTAAGAGAAATCAGACCGGGTGCCAGGTGCCTCAGTTGCTCCGCCTCCGCGTGCTGTTAAAGTTTCATGCAAAACGCTGTTGGGATCCACATACCTCAGGGAAAATGGCACATTTATGGATGATTCACCAGAACTGTTGGAATATGATTGGGTAATTCTGACCATAAATGATCATAAATGGAATCATAACATATTTTCCAACAACAGTTCTGGTAATTGTCCGATCATGGGTGCAACTATGGAAAATTACATGAACATTACCATAACTGTTGTTGGATTACCCTCTAATCTTACATAGCCGTGGTGGCCCATTGATGATTCTCCTATGAAACATGGTGATTTTCCATAGCTATGCTCAGTTACAAGAATGCATTTGTTACTTGATGGTGGGCTTGTCACCGAGCTGGCTGCTGAGTTGACAGGATGCATCCTATCCTATGGCTTTGACCTGAAATCTGAGATGTGTACAACCCAATTTCATACAATCTCTATCATATATAGTTGTTTTTTTTAATAAACTGTATATGAACATATGGGCATCATATGGGAAAATGATTTCTCAAACCACTGGATCTTTGGACTTTTCCATGCCACCCGCCCAAGGTGGCCACAGCCGGCCCAAGGTGGCCCAAGGGCCAAGCTACACGTGCTCGGCTTTCAGGTCCACCTGCTCACAGCTCGTTGGTGTTTCTCATCATTTTTGGTTGCCCAAGATTATCTGAATAAAGTGATTGCCAAAAAAAAGTAGTAAATATAGTATTATCCTAGTTGGTTGAGTAATTGGTAATCTGATACCTCCTGGTTGGCCAAGAACCTTAATTAACGCCTTCCGGCAATTTGATCCCCGCGAGCCATGAGATACAAGTACAAGTAGTGTTGACATGAAATCTTGACGCTTAGGCAGCCGATCTCCCGATAAAGCTGACTTGCCAACGCTTTTGACGACAACACTTATGCAATTGATGCTTTCAAGTTGGGATGTTTGAATTGTTGAGCAGCTACCCCAGCTTCAACATGGGTTTGTCTAAAAATAGGCTGCAAATTTTGGACCCAAATCGCAGTGTCCGTTCTATATATCCCATATCTCCCCAATGGTTGGCTGTATGCCCCAATCTTTACCTTCTTGGTTACTTATATATATCCCATTACATCCTCATGATGGTTGCTTTGGAATTTTGAAAGAGACGCCGCGCGTAGGAAGACCCCTCTCATCGCATAACTCATCGACTTGCGGAATTCGGTAAGTGCACCAACTCTCACAAATTCTCAATCATCTCAACAAAGCAAAATCTACGAAAAAGGGAGCCAATGGTTGGACTGACCAACAGCTCACAAGGGTTCACAAAAGCGCCCCAAAAGGCGAGACTCTCAACCATATCCACCCAACCAACTTCGTGTAAGGAAGAAGTTACACATGTGTCCTCAAAAGGCAAAGCCTTTTGAACTTGCCCAGCAAGTTCACCTAGGAGGTATTGGTATCGGATCAATTCCCGCATGGTAGTCACCATGTTTCACCCAAGTAGTGACACCACCACGCCCCCCCCGGCAATTGATGGTTGCTTTCCCATGCGTCATGCCCTAACGTTTACTCGGCTGGTTCTGTACTTACATCCTATTACGTCCCCATGATGGTTAGTGTCGCCATGATATCTTCAATGTCAAATTACGCTCCACTGTTTGTTGCTTACCCTCTGGTAATTCAACATAGCTATATATGGAACATTGTTCATTTATGGAAGGTGTACCTGATTATCCTGATTTACCTATGAAACAGGGTTTTCCCTGGCTGAAAATGACCAAGTGTAAATCCCACCATTGTTTGGGACCCAAAAAACGTTTGCCTCGGAACGAAAGGCATCTGGAAAGGTGCTCCGCAGCCATTGTGTCAAGCGAGGAATGCCCATGTTTCGCTCATGGTGATGTAGTCGGAGCAAAAACAGGGGGTCCGAAGTCCTACGTGGGTAATAAGTAAATCAACTCACCCCCTTATAGGGAATATGCATGTATGTGTATATATATATATATATTCATACATATATACAGGAAATCAAAAGGATATATTATATATATATATAAAATTGTATATATGTGGGAAATACATGGAAATACTGGAAATATACAGGAAATCTATGGATATAACAATTTTATACGTAATACATATATATATATATATGTGTGTGTGTGTGTATGTATGTATGTATATAAATATATACAGTATTACAGTAGTGTATTTCAATTTGTGGTAAACCCATGTAAACCCAATAATAAACTTCCCCCAACATCACCATCAGTGGGCGGTATAAAATATCCCCAAATGGTTATTATTGGCTTTCCCACATTAATGAATTATAATATGGATATCAAATATGCCCAGATTAATGCAAGAAGTCTGAAATCACAAGCTGAAACTGTGATGCACATCTAAATGACAAATGCTGAATATCAATGGATTGATCTTGAAGGAAAACCGCTACAGGAACACATTGTTTTAACATCAAACTAGGGGAGTCCTATAATGTAAGTGTCCCGCAACGTACAATGTTCACTTGTTGTGGTTCATGTTGTCATATATATATATATATATGTACCGTTAGGATGATGATTCTCAAGATCATATTATCAGTTTCGTGTATTAATAGCGGATCCGAGAGCGTTATTTCATGTTTATGCCATCCCTTCCATCGTTCTTCGTGTTCCCCGCATTTTGATCATGTCGGTCTGCCGGGAGGAATTGATTGCTGAACTTCGCACTGGCCCCAGGGCTATTTCCAGTGACTTGTGCAACGGCAGCGAATGGTTTTCCCCACAAACACCCCGTATATCAGTACTGCTCTTGCACCAAAGAGTGGATCTTCTGGTATATAATTGACTGTTGGTCTCCTAGGACGTTAGGATATCTTTGCAACTGATTGCAGTGAGGCCGGGCTTGGTTTTTCTTCGCCACTCTTGCAGCAGGGACAGTGCGGATTGCCACTGCGTTCCCTTCTCACATGCACTCATCATTGCACTGAAGGTCACCTGGGCACACGTCTCGACAGTCTCACCAATGCCGGGTGGTCAACCATGCGGATGTACCGACTGGGTATATAATCGATATAATGGAAATATAATCATATAATATAGATATAGAAAAGCCAACTTGATATGATACCTGGGTTTTTCCCAAAATGGTGGGGTTTCATTCACCACCTATTGTATTATGAGTGTCCCCCATTACCATTCTTTACAGCAGGACCCCATCTACCTTAGGCGATGGGAAAATTCTGCAACTTCCCATCCCCCCAATCTCAACCAGCGGCAAGTCACCACATCCGGGCTGACCTTGGCAGAATGAAAAATGGCTAAGGCTTGTTGCCACTGGGTCGCCTTCTCACAGGAGCTGATTGTGGCATTGTGCGCATGGAGATTCGGATGGATCTTGGTTTTCGGCATCTGATGAAACAAGGCCAGCGCTGCTTGCCACATGGCCCCCTTCTCACATGCACTGATGCTGGCGCTGTAGCTGATGACGTTGGGGATTACAGTGACAAGTGACATGGAGTGCAAAAAATGTAGGGCAAAGTCCTTGGGTTTCAAACAATGTCAAATCCTGTAATCACTGTAATCTTGTATTTTGACCCGATTGTATATAATTATTATATATGACAGTCACTACAAAAGGTTCAAGAACAACACCATATGATCAATTAACTAATCTTGGGGGTGGGGCGGACCACATGTACACCATGAATAGGCCTTGTGTGCTCTCATCTCTCCCTTGTTTGGGACACATACAAACATTAACGACAATCCAAGCCTCTTGAACTAGATTGGATGCACATGAAAAATGGTACATGGTACCACCAAGTGTCCCATTGTGCCCCCTTTTCGCATGCACTGATGACCGCACTGTAGCTGTACACGTCTGCTGCAATCCTGCACATTTTTTTTTGGCACATGGCAAAAAACATCAAAAAACCACGGCTTCCCGTCGGTTTTCCCTCAGTTTCCCTGGAAAACCTGTTCTTCCACTTCCACATTTCTGTCATCGGTGTCGCATGGGCGCCTGGCTGAGGGAAACGCCAGCAACGTTTCCAGGGCCCGCAGCCACTGGGAGGTCTTTTCGTAGGAACTCAGCATGGCATTGTGGCAGTGGAGGTCTGGCGCCTGGGGAGCCCAGAAGCAAAATGGGATCAAATGGACATGACATGCCATGGCTATATGGATAATAATATAATTATATATATATGTATATATGATATTATATCATTCTATATCTACGTGTATTGTATGTATACATGCACATAGATTTACATTACGTATGTTAACCAACCCAATCCCACTGAGTCAACTTCCACACCAAACGCCTCGTGCAAGGCCATAGCGAGGAGCAAGTGGCCAGCACCTGGCAACCATGACGCCACGGCCATGCCAGTGAAGTGGAGCAAACGAATCAGTATAAATTCCTACTAAACAAAGTGCAGGGTTGATCATGTTGATAGCCGGGTAACATAACAATTTTTGATAAACCTGGTTATATAAGTCAATATGAACCCATAACTTCTGTATATTTTAGCCACTATTTTTCAAACCTCAGACATCTGTACACTGTACATTTCTACCATCATCTAATATCATCTAATATCATCTAATCCTAATCTAATCCTAACATATCCTAACCAAACAAGATTAAAACTGTGCTCAGCAAAAAGAAGTCCACGTTGCCATTGTGAAGCCTTCTCACACGAGCTGATGGCTGCGCTGTAGGTGTACGCATTAGCCACAACCTTGAATTCGCTAAGCGTCGCCAGCAGTTGAAGAGAAACTTTCCATTGATGACCCTTTTCACCTTACGACAGTGGTTCATCCATGTTCATCCCAATATTTCCATTCTAGGAACAAAAAAAATCAGGTTTGGTGTACTGGTGTACTATGTTCTTTTCATCTACCTACATTGGTCGTTGAATGGGGGGGAACCCTTTTACTAACAAACGCCGTAAGCAAATTAACATCTATGGTTCACCCCAGGTGGCGGATCCACATACAGTAAAACATTGTAAAACGATGTGCAGAGTTGACCAACCAGCCACATGCACTGATGGTGGCGCTAAATGTCACCACATCCGGAGTGACTGTGGCAATAGCCAGACCAAATATCTTCAGAGCCAAATGCCATTGGGCACCCTTCTCACAGGAGCTGATTGTGGCATTGTGCGCATGGAGATTTGGACGGATCTTGGCTTTCGGCATCTGATGAAACAAGGCCAGCGCTGCTTGCCACATGGCCCCCTTCTCACATGCACTGATGCTGGCGCTGTAGCTGATGACGTTGGGGATCAGAGTGGCAAGTGGCATGCTGTGAAAGTGGTGGAGTGCCAACTCCTTTGCTGCGTGGTGTGCTAGCTTCAGGCAGCAACAATTGGCCAGATAAAAAAGTCCGGGGGGTTTTGGAGATCGACATCCAAATATCCCAAAGGATATCCCAAAGGCCGGGCTGGAACATGAGACAAACCAGAAATGCACTGATACACCCATTCTACCCCAGTTTCTGATGCTTAAATCGCCAGTTTGCTTGCCTTTGTATGCGCGTCAGCGAATCTTTGCAGCTAAACTTCCCAGTGTGCTGAGGTTCCAAAGGCACTGATGGTTGAGTTGTAGGTGACCACCGTAGGGCTAAGAGTGGCGTTGATCAACTCCTCATGTGGCCAAAGGAAAATCTAGTCTAGAGGAAACCCCTCAAATTCCTGGTAACCCATGGTTTCTCGTAGATGTTCCCTTTAACCAATCCATTGTAAATTGGAAACTGTTCTTTTCCACATCTCTTTGGATTTGTTTTCCAATCACAACGGGTGGGCACAAGGATCTCACATGCACTAGGCAGGTGTTGTGCTCAGGATTTTCCGGGAAGTGGGTACCAGTAGACCCTGACAGTATTAAACCCAGTCAATCTGAGTCAAAAAAGAGAGAGAGAGAATATACATACAGTATATGCATATATTATGTGATATATATATATATATGAATGTATGTATATATGTATAAACATTATCTATATTATAAATATATATATATGTATATGTATATGAATATTATATTTATGTATATATTATATATAATAGTCTAACGGTACAGTGTCTATATCTATATATATATATATTTATATGATATAATACATTATGATGCATTATGTATATATAATTATATATATACTGTTTTTATTGTCAGCAAGCATTCGAGCAAACACCCTTGCATTAAGTTAAGCTAGGGAGAAAACCAATGGAAAAAAACACGCGGTATATGTTCTCCGAAAAGCACAGCTTGAAGATACACGAGACCGACTGAAATTGAAAAGCAAGGCTTGCTCCTGTTGCTCGAGAAAAACACACGCATCACGCATCAATCATATAATATAGCTCAACAATCTGCAACAAGCCCATCATAGGGAATGAGAAGATACGATAAGACATGATAAAACATGGATAAAATATGCCAACTGATAAAATGTGATCAACAAAAGAAAACATGGCAAAAGTAGATGTAGATGGCAAATGTCACTTCCAGTCGCCCAAGCCCAATCCCCGGTGGCTCGCCGAAGCTCGAAGAAATGTCCTGCGAGTTGCCACTGCGCAGCCTTGGCGCAACAGCTCAAGGCTGCGTTGAAGCTGTAGATCTCTGGCTCGACCTGGCGCTGTGACCATCCGAAACGCGGATGTGGGGGGGTCCCTTGATAACCGATAGGGAAGTTGGTGTATGACTGTTGGTTTGCTCGGGTTTATAGATCTTATAAATTCTTATAATGGATGTGTTTTTGGGTGATGTTGGATGATTTGGAATTTTGTTGGATGATTTGGAGTTTTGTTGGATGATGTTGGATGGTTTCTTTTGCACACCAATTTGTGCATTAAAAAAAGGGGCCTCTTCCTGCATGGTGATGTGATGGATGGTCCGGAGGACTGCAACCTGCTGATGAACGTGGTCGGACCCAGTGTCAAATGATATAATTATATATATATACCCTCTGAGAATCGAACATGGCAATTTGCAATGGTTGCATCCCACAGTTATTAATCATGTTATATCCATGTTATATCATGTTATATCCATGGATGGTATCCATGGATGATTTTAGGAAACACGGGGAATCTTCCTTAGTCATATGCCAAAAGGTCGGCCATGGTCGTCCTATGTAAAGTGTTCTCGCCTGCGTTTCGTTGTTTGCCAAGGCGAAGAGCCAAAGTCCTCCACCCAGATTCTGGTAATGAAATGTGACAATGGGAAATCCACTGTAAATCCACTCTACATGGACATTTAAGTGGTAAAAAATCAAGAAAAGAAGGATTTCCCATTGCTATGTTCGATTACTGTAGGGTACATGTTCCCTCCAAACCCCGGGGTCGCCCACACTCAAACAGCACATCCAAACAATATGATCTGCTTATCACCAGAGGATGAATGAAGACACTGGCTATACTATACGCAGTGATTTTGACTTCAAGTTTTCAGGATTTAGGGTTTTAATTTAGGGTTTAGGGTTTTAGGGTTTGTTGTTTTGGAAAGTAAACACCTTGAACCCACAACTTGAACCCTAGGCAGGGATTTGAGCATGCCAAAGGATATGCGGGATTCGCCGCGGGCAGACCTAGGGTTTGCAGCGTACATGTTTCATTCTGTTTCATACATGGTTGGTTTAGTTTGTTCAAATCAGAGATGCATAGAGATGCATAGAGAGGGAGTTGTGCCTTAGCTTGAAGGTGACGTGCAATGCTTCAAATCTTTAGCTGGTTCTGTGCATAGGTTCTTTTGTCTTCCCATATTTTCTTTGCTGACATAGAAAATCAAGGGATCTATCAGCATCTACCAGCTCATAGCCTCATCATGTCCCACTAACCCCTTTTTGGGTCTCATCATTCATTTGAATCTGCATTATTAGTGATTATATATATATTAATATATATATATGATGTGTAAAAACTCACACAAAAACCCAAGCCTTATTTCCGGCCACATCCAATTGATGGTTTCCCTAACGGTTAAGAACTGCAGGTTCTGCCAAGGTCAGCGATGCAAGTTTCTTTTAAGACCCTCAACTGCATTAATCGGCATATGATACGATATAATGCACTTCATACATGTATATTAAGATTATTTGGGTGGATCTTGCGATAATTTATTGATGGCTTTGGCACCATGGGATTTACCATGGGGTTTACCATGGGCCATCTGCCCTCGCCATTGATCGTCCTTCCTGCCAGCGACGCGCCCGCGCATGCTGGCTGATTTCCAGCGTCAGATCGGACCGCCTATTGGACCTGAGCTGTTGCTATGGAGTTAGGTGGAGCTACCCAGTTTACAGATCGGCCTAGGGCCAAAAAATATCATGCCTAGGCTGCCTAGGTGCAAGCAATGCACAGCGTCTCTGGTCAACCCATTGCTGTATTGCCGCGCAATGCTGGTGCAAATGACTAAGCAAGGCCAAGCCCCACTATTCGCAGCGGTTAAGCTATCACCCTTCAGCAATTTCACATGGCAATGAGATGCAATGAGCCAATGGATCATCACCCCTTGGAATAGCATGGAATAGCAACATCATCAGGGTATGTCTGAAAATGGGGTATACCCCCAAATATAGCCATTTAGTAGGGATAATGATCATTAACCATTGGGTGTAGGGGTACACTATTTTCAGACAAACTCATCAATCTACAAATCGGGGATACTCATGGCTTCTCCGTGACCATGCTCGCCTGAGCCAAGTTGCATCGGCTGGTAGCGAGTCCTCCTGACCTGAAACGCGACAAAAACGCCGAGAAGACTATACCGATTGATGCTCATCGATGATAGAATTATAGAAGCCTCATCAAAAGTACTGAGATCTTTCACCCATGCATCTTCCCGCAATGCATGACCAAAGTCCATTTTGGATGTGGTTTATGTGGGGCCTTGTTGCAGCAAAGGCTGCGGCATTTGTTGCTCATCTGCGGCCAAGCAGGTTTCAAGCAGTGGATCCTAGTGGAGCAGTTAGTAGTGGATCGGAACGGATCAGAAGCAGCTATATCCGATACGGTGGATCTGCTATATCGATTACAATAGCTGTTATTAATATCAAATAATATCAGGAATATGCAGATCAATTTTATATATATATATATATGTGAGATTATTTTGCAGAAGCTGCATCCGAGATCTTCTTTTGGCACATCGATGGAGGAATTTCTCCGGCCACGGCCACGATTAGCGCACCCTCTCTGAGATTCTAGGCTGGTGGGCCAATTGGGGGAAGATGATGTAATATATGATGCTACGAGGTGGGAGGGATAGTGTATGATAGTGTACCAAAATGATCCCAAATCATCTTGAATCTTGAACACTCACCAAGCCAATTCTTGAGCCATGAGCTACGCAGACTGGCGTGGGGTGGCGAATTGTGACTGGGAACAGGTGTTATGCATTTTTATGCATTTTTCCCATAGCAACATGCAGGCAATTGGGATAGCCTTCAGCTCGCAAGAGCTCACCCGTGTATCTATATAACCGTCCCGTCTCTGATCGATACCATCCTGTAGCAATGACTCTCTGAGTGCGGCAAAGCCATCAAAGGAATACAGTCTAATTGCTGCACAATGGTCTGAAACGATCCTATTGGCAACAATTATATGGCAATCTTCTATACATTTCTACTGCTTGCATCTGCTTGCCAGCTGATATCCCTCATTGACATGGTTGCACCATATCATCTTAAGCTAACATCCAGACCTTGCCCAAACCTGACCCCATTCCAACGCTTTCAGAGCTGTGCTCTGGCGAATGTCGCCAACGACGGCTAGCAGGGCCAGAACCAACCAGGAGATCTCTTTCACCGTTCCACAGAGGTGGCTTAAGATTTTTTGGAAAAATAGCGAAAGCAAAAGACTCACAGTTTGAATTATCACACTCGAATCGACCATGCTCCGCATAGTTTGAAGATGTTTGAAGCATTTGAACATACTCACACACATTAGAAAGAAACAACACGTTTGAGAACATTAGCCAGTCACTGCATCTGATGGAATTGCCAAGTTCACCCATAGATCATCGCGTTACAGAGATCAGCCTGCTACACAAATCGAAAGCTACTGTCATGTGCCTATGGCACTTTCGGCTTTGTCTGATAATAGGGTAATTACCCCAAAATCCACAGGTGTGTATTTCCCTGTCAAAAAATATATAATTATTCAATATTGCATGGGGCTATGCGGCTATACCCAGTTCTCAAACACCATACACACCCTTGTGGCATCACGGCCATCTTGGCTCATTGGGAGAATTGGTTCGCCGCAAGTTGAGAAAGTTCTCACGAATCATTTGGTGATCAATTCATAAACCTCCAGGCAGCAGATTCAAACGAAGCATCCAAGCAGTTTCAACAGAATGCTCCATGGCAAGCGCGCAAAACACTGAAAAAGGTAGACATGTTGTTCTCTTTCAAACACGATCAAGAAGATTCAAGAAGTATACAAAACAAGCAAGTACCATCAAGAGCTACTTGCTGATTCGATCTTTTCCGGGAACACCTGACACATGCTGGTAGAAGTCATCGA